TTTGTTTGCTGTGCAGGGGCTTTTGTTGATGAGTACTTTGGAAGTGGCAGGGTAACTACTTCAGGTCGTTTGCTTCAAATTAATGTATTAAAATTCACTTCTCTTGGGCAGGGAGTCAGATTTCCCTACTGCACCTTTTAATGGCGCTTGGGAAATCCTGGCTCGTAGTGTCATGGGGTTCTGCATCAGCATTGCTATATGTAAGTGCATAATTAACAGATGACTGGCTGGAAGTATGTTCCGCTGCTACAAAGAGGGATATCCTGACATTTCCAGTGGAAAAATATGAAAAACTACAGTGGACACAGGTGTAGAAAAGCTGTGGAGTCTCTCACTCACTTGACTGGTGAAATGTGAGGGCTTTTCTACTAACTTTCAGCCAGGAGCACACTCAAGAGCTGGACTGGCTGGTGTCCTTGCTTCATGCTCTCAAATTGTATAATGTTGGTTAATCTGGGCATCAGGTGGAAGTTTTAAGGTTGGAAAAGATGCTCCATGCTGTTGTTGGTAATTGGAATAAACCTCTATTACCTTGTCAAAAAACATCTGGGTCTTGCATTAGTGCCCCATATATTTGTCACTGGTTTAAGTGTTTATATGATGGCCACTTATGCTTAAGGGTTTGTTGTGAACTTAAAACTATTTTTGCATGAACAGGTCACAGTAATGAAAGGCAGTAGTAGGAATAAGGATCATTCGACAGAAGGAGAAGGAACTGGGAAGCGACCAAAAAGAAAGTGTCTTCAGTGGCATCCCCTGCTTGCCAAGAAACTCCTTGACTTCTCCGAAGAGGAAGAAGAGGAAGAGGAAGAGGAGGATATTGATAAGGTAGACTTCATTACATGCTTTGACCATAGAAAGTTAATGGTCAGATTCTCCTTGGCCGTGTTTCCGTTTTGTTTTCTTCTTGCTGTTCTCTTCTGTGAACAAACACAGCCAATTATAAGAAGTAATGCTGTGGCCATAAGGCTGTAAGTGTAAATAGCAAATAACACAAAAAAAGTGAGTTGTCAACCACACTTTTAAAATCTCAGACAAAACTCTCTTTTGAGAGTTAGACTCTAACAGTTTTCACAATGTTGTCTTGGTAACATGTTACACATCTTGGTCTTGATTGCTCAAGGTAGGTTTTTGACGCCTTTTTTTTAGTTGTTCATTTTAGACTTGAATTTAGCCTGTGCTTAATAGCTGCTTCTAGTGGCTTTGAGGACAAGCTAATACTTTTCTTTCTTTCTTTAAAGTTTAAAAAAATACAAAGATTAAAAGGGAAAAATAAAAAAAATGTTGTCAACAATTTTTACTGTCTTTGCATGTGAAATTCAACTTATTCCTCCAGAATATTGAGATCACGGGTGGAATAATCTCTCTCTCATCTGTTGCTTGGTATTGCAGTATTGTTTGATGATGCTGGCCTTAACCTTTTTTCATAAGGATCCCACAGTGTGGTACTTCACAAATGTACAGTTAAACTCATCCTCTGTAACAAGAAGTGGGAATGGGAGGTGACAGGTTTTGGAGATGTGATGTTTCCATAATATGGATGATGTTCATATCTGCATGTCCTTGATGCTTTGCTAAGGCAGGAAGGGAGAGGTCAGTGCTGAGGAGACTGCCTTGAGCCACATACTGATAAGGAAGAGTGACCTTGACAAGGATAAGGAGCAACAAGGAGGAGCCTGATACTCTGACAGTGTGTTCTATTGACCTTACAAGTCACTTGCCACAATGTGGCATAAAACAGCCCTGTTGCAGTTAGGTAGGAGATGATTTTCTGTCCTATACAATAACAAGTTTCATTCAATCAGAACTAGTCTTCTGTGATACGTCCCTTGCAGCAGTGGATAGTCTGGTCTGTGAGTGAAGAGAGCATATTTTGTCAGTGTATTCTGTTGAGATTTGCCTTCTGGCTCTGACTGGGCATTTGTGCAGTGGCTCCACTGCAGCACAGTGAGCCACTGCAGCACCTCTTCCCAGTGAGATGATTTCTAGGTTGTAGAAGGGGGTAGGAAGGATCTCCTCCTTCCAGCCGCTTTAGGACTGTTACTAGAGAATGGGCCTCAGCTTAGAAATCTGTTCCACTTGCAAGTCAGAGTTGAGGTCTTGCAGAGAGCATGAATGAACCTTGGACCATCAGGTGAGGAGGTTTGATGTAGAACTCTAGGTCTTCTGGATGGAATGGATGGCCTTTGGAGACAGCTGTGTGTATCAGCATGTCTCCCTCGTTCACATACGGCATACACAGACTGTCAGTCTCCATGAGAAGTGTGAATAACTGAGTTTACGCCCCTTCCTTTTCGGTTCTGCTAGGTGCCTCTCCTTGGCGCTGATGGTTTAGAGCAGGATCCTGATGAAACCGAAGATGATGAGTCCTCAGAGCAGCGAGCTCGCCGACCAATGAATGCATTTCTCTTGTTCTGCAAACGCCATCGCTCTCTTGTGCGAAAAGAACACCCTCGCCTCGATAATCGTGGCGCAACCAAGATCTTGGCAGATTGGTGGGCTGTTCTAGATCCAAAAGAAAAGCAGAAATACACTGACATGGCCAAGGAGGTATGCTCTGTCTGAATGGTGGATGTAAAGGGAGTTCATTATATATTTGGCTGTCCTCTGTTTCTGTGTATTAAATGTTTTCTGTGGGGTCTTTCTCTTCCCTGAGTTCCTCAGCTTCCGTGGTGGGATTATGGTGCCCAGAGCAGCTGCTGTTCTTGCTTTGATTTGCTTGGCCTTTTTGACCAGAATGCAAAGAAATTAGTCTGTACACAAACTAACCTGGCAGTAGTAGTCATTGGTACAAATATATGCACTGTGATAGATATCACCTGATAATTCCTGTGGTACAAGTATTAACACATTCATAGTGCGTGGATAGTGGCCACTGAAAACAGTAACAAACAGTTCAGTGTCAGCTGACTAGTGATACTTAGCTTGAGCTATGCATTTGCTATTGGTAGTGCAGGTTGCTATTATAATACAGGTGGACCAAACCAAAAGCATAGTCGACAAATGTAGGTTCTTCTTACACTTGGTGCTAAAGAATTTAAAAATTGTTAGTGTTTCGTATTAGTGTAGTGAGGCAGAGTCCGTTACTCAAACCAGAGAGCAATACATAGTCAGTTCTTTAACTAGGAGCAAGGAAAAGAGATTTATCCTCATATTTCACAAAGTATGTTTACATCAACTTAAAATTTAAATGGGGCTTTTTAAGAAATAGCATGCTTGGTCCCAAGAAGGCTGCTAATATTGATAGCAGAGTGAGAGAGACAGAACCAGTTACTTAGGCTGGTAACATGATCTCAGAACAGATCCCTGTAATTACCTGTGTGATGTAGATTGCAGGTAACCATTGAATTCCATCTTAGAAAAAATAACGGTGGGCCAGTGAGAAGGAAGATCATCTCTCTCATTTCTTGAGTAATGGTAGCACACTACAAGAAGTACAGATAGCTGTGAAACGATTGGGGAAACTATTGTCCGTACCTGCCTGTCATGCGAAGTTGTCTGCTACTGTTAACACAGGTATACGAGGTTCAGTAGTTCATGTGAGTGTGGGAAGGTCCACAGAAAAAACAGAGTGTTCTGCATGGCAGGTCCTGTTTGAAGCAGAGTCTGTAGTACCTCTGTAGTTCCCTGTCAGTGACAGTGAAACAGTGTTGAAATACTTGAGCCTCAGCTTCCTCCAACCATTCCTGATTTGTTCTGCATTCCCACTTATAAATTAGCAATACTTCTTGAAATGTGTGGGAAAGGGCAATTGGGATAGCCAGTACAGGTACAGAGGAAAGAAAGATAAAAATGGAGAAATAATTTTTGGAAGAAACCAACCTGATGTGACTGACTTTCTTTAGCCTTTTGTCTTGAAGGAAACTCATTCATTAAGAAGGAAAATAATTGCAGAACTTCTTTATGAAATGGCAGATCTGAAACTATTAATCATATTGTTATAGAAATCATTGTTCCTGTAGTGATTTATTTATTTTTCTTGGCATGAAGAACAAATTACATATTCAACATCAAAGGGAAACAATAAATCTAAGTAGTTTACATCATTACAACTAGTTCCAAGATGTACAGAAGAGAGATAACGTATAACTTTTATTCTTTGAACAGTTGTATGTTACAATAGTTAGCAGCTGTAATGTGCTGTTTAATACTTGGGCCTTCTTCACCAACAGGCCTGTTCTCTGTGTGTGGATCGTTTTGTTTTAACTTTCACTTTTGTAGTTAGACTTACTGCTGAGACTGTCAAAAAGATGTTAATGTCAGCTCTAATGCAAACCATTTATTGGTATTTTTCCTAAGGAGAGTTCATTTAAAAGTAAGAAGGTGAATGCCTTTGGAAGGTTATAAAATTACCATTGTACCAATAATCTTATCTTGGAGTACCTATCTGTAAGCTCCTTGAGGTTTAAGATACAGCAGATGAGTTTCTGTGACTTAAATGTAGCTCTTCAGTGCCCTTTGACTTCCAGTTTTCACAGTGTAACCTCTAGCCACTATCCTGGCAGGGCACACATTTCCCAAAGGACCCTGCGTCATATCTGCTAGCCCCGCAACGTATCTTGTTTACCCTGAGCATCTGAATCACTCTTCCAGAGATACAAATGTGCCTGACAGAAGTGGACCCTACTGCAGTTGTTTTACAGTCTGGAGAATGTTTTTACTACTTGAAGCCAGAGTTCACAAAGCCAGTTAGCTCAGATCAAGCTTCAAGCAAGCAGCTTTCAGTTTCCCACCTGCTTAATACCAGCAACTGGTGCTATCTCAGCAGTGTGCAAATCAAGGCATTGGCGTATTTACTTACCTGTATCTCGCCATATGCAAGATCTAGGATTTTGGAAGATAGGGAGGCACCAGAACATTTGCCAAGTGGAATTCTAAGAAGTTTTCTGTTGGGTTGGGCATGTGTCTGCGATTCCCACTGAGGGGATAATTGGGTCTATGGTTCATTTAGGCACTTTTGGAAAATTCTGTTAGGTACCCATCTGTACCTTTGGGTGTATTAGTTTCATAGAAAAACTGTTCCCATTATCTCTCTATTTTTGGTTTTGTGGTTTATGGTCTCTTGTAGCGACACCTGCCCTGAAGACCTCATACTGTGCCTGCAGAGCTCAATGTCGGCTTCTGTTGGTGTTCCCTTTAGGAACAGCCTTTCTATTTGTATCCTACACACTTGGTAGATCAACTTAACTTTCAAAGTTTCATTCTAGAGCGTTTAATCCCGGTAGCTGATACATACTCCCAAGTGGAACCACAAGTGTTCCTACTGTTTGTTAGCATTTCCCTTCACTGAGGGGAAGATGAATTCTGGCCACTCATAAATATGCTCCAGCATTTTTAGTTACTACAATAATAGGGGCAGTGTTCTTCTGTTAACTCTTACAGGGCTTCCTGGGAATATACAGCTGCCCTGGAAAATATCCAGGGAGATTATTATTGTTCAAGCCCTGTTTCCCTTGCTAGAAAGCACTTCATTCTTAAATATGTCTTTGCATTGGCAATATCTAGGCAGCTGGGATTGCTTCTTCTAGGGAACAGCCTGATAAATCCAGGCTGCTGCCGTTCAAGTGTCAGACCTGAACACTTCTCCCATGAGTGCTCAGCCAGTGCTTTTGCAGGCACAATCAGCCCCACTGGGAGCTCGCTGTTCTTGCTGTGCTGCTGCTTTGGTGGCTGCCCTGGGGCAGGAGCGGGGCAAATATTCTGGCTTCCTGGCTGGAGTCTGGCAACTTCACTGGGTGATGTATAGACCAAAACATGTAATGTGAACCCTGTGTCTTTCAGGAGTGAAAAATGGAGTGTAGTATTTTCTGGGGATTTTTTGTTGTTGTTGTTAGATCTCTGGGATTCGTGTGACATTTAATAGCCAGCTGGTGGGATTTAAGCATACATTTAAAGTTAAGCACATGCTAACTACTACCCTGAGGTGTAGCTGGAATCCACTTGTGAGCTCCTGTTCCCACCACACTGGAGAAGGCAAATCTTTTTTTATTTGGTGATGAAAGCAAATCAGGGAGTTAGTTGCACTGAAGCAAAGTACATTTTTTAACCTCAGCTTTAAAGCGACACCAATCCCACTGCATAACACATCCTTCCCCAGGCTTTCTGAAAACAGAAAGGATATGTCAGACCAATCCCACAAACATATCCTGTGCTTTTTTTCGTCTTACCTCGAGCTTCAGGAGCTTGATGGCCAGGCCATCCCTGCCACTCACATGTGAGAACCAAAGTGGTGTGTTTGCATTTGTCCAGGTTAAGGACTTAACTTCCCCCCCACTTACCCCAAGTGGCTTTAGAGACTTCCTTAGGCTGGTTGTGTTAAGTTGGTTTACTGCACAGTTGGTTGAATGGAAGAAAAGAGTAAGCTCTGCTATTGCCTTTGGCACTTTCTTGTTAGTGTGTAGCTCATTTAAGTTATCTTCTCATGACCTGGCAAGCAAAATCTGTAATTTCATTTTAACTCCTGGTCTAATAGTCACAAAAATCAATACTGAAAGTCTAAGATTTGGATCAGGCCCCTGTATGCATTTTATCAAACTACTTCTTGGCCATTGTTTAACTTTTGGATTTTCTTTTTCATTTATCTTGAGTGTTGAAACTCTGAAAGGGGACAATGAGTTGTCCTCCCTTAGTTTGCTCCCTCCCCTTCAGAGAGTGCAGTTAACATTCACTTCTTGGCTTTACAGGGGAAAAATCCATTAATACACCACCTCACTTGAATTGCTCTTGTTGGAAACTGATTAAAAGCTTATTTCTGCCTCGTCTCACAAATGGCATGCATTCCGGTTCTCATTTGATGGGCAGCCTGTCGGCTTGTCAAATTACTCCGTAGAATAATTCAATTACTCAAAAGTAGCAACGCTGATACGAAGAGCTTATGTAGCTCATTCCTAGTGATTCTGTGCTTTTCCCTCTGCAGGCTGGAAGCATAATTTGTGAGTGGGCTGTGGCTTTAACCATGGAAGGCAAAGCTGCTTCTCTATTTCCTTTCCGCCTCTTCCCTTACCCCCTCCCCTTCCTTTCCCTCCATCTCGCTATTTTTGTGGTGTACTGAGCTCCCAAAACAAACTGAGGGAAATGGAAAAGGGGCGAGGTGAGAGGTGTTGCAGTCCTTAGTTTGCTGATTTAATACCTGCACACTGTTCAGAAAACACAGTGAGTATGTGGGTCAGTGGTCCCTGCAGATCTTTATTATTTTTCTATAAATACAGGACTAAACACAGCAGGTTCACACGGTGCTGTGCTTCTTGTAAACTGCATTGGTTTTATCCTTGCTACAGTCTGGAGGTAGCAAGTGCCAGCTGATAACAGATTAAGATGGAAATGAAAGTAAGCAATACACGTGCAATGGTGATCCTGCCACAAGGCATTGCTGTTTACTGATCTGGGAAAACACTGCAGTGACTCTTATCAGAGGACACGATTTTCAGTGCTATTTCTGTATTTGATGCCCAAGGGATTTTTCCCCTCTACGTCTGTTTCTGTGGAGGCATGCGTGTGAAACATAGGTGCTTCTCTGTGCCGTAACTGAGACTGATGACAGCTGGGTGGGTGGAAACGTGTAATCACGGAAGAAACTTCCTGCAGTTGCTCTGCTGTGTAGTTCAGGATAAAACTACTCTTTTGGTTGTTTGCCCACATTGAGAGATACCTAGTGCATGAGGAGGTATAGGGCTCCTTCTCCCTCCAGTCAGCACTGGTGCTTACTGGGTAGGCTCCCACAGCAGCCAGTGCTGTACACCCCTATCAGTTGTTAGCCAAACATTTGCAGCTGGAATGCATGGCACATTCCTCCAATTCGTTCTCCACCTTGCATAGCAACACATTTAAAATACTGAAGTGTGTTCTTTTTATTGCTGTTAACATTCAAAAATCTTGTTTTGGTCTGGTCAGCAAGATACTTGGAGAATGTCACTGTTGCATTTTGTGAATAAAATAGGTCCCCATCCTTTTCCCTGCCCCCCCAGACTGTGTAGGATCCAGACCTTCTCCCCGCCACCGGACGTGTGTAATCTGGCTTGATTTGTTTTGCTGCCTCATACCAAGAATATAGCAAACACCGGAGTTGTGTGCTGTGTGCTCAAGGCCAGAGAGAGTTCTAAATGGTCACAGTTTATTTTATGCAGCCATGAAGGATGGTACATTTTGGAAGGAAGGCTGGGGCGATGTATCAGAATTTACTGAAAGTGAGATTATACTGGTAGCGGTTTATTTTCGGTGCCTGATTTGGAAAAGCATATACTCAAATATTTTAAAATACAGAACTATTGGAGAAAGATGAGTGCAAGGTAAGGAGCATCATGCTGCATTTATTGATAAATATATGTTTGTATTTCATTCAAACTAGAAAGCAAACAAAGATTGTACTTGCAGAAGAATTCAAATAACTGTCTTTGTTTCCCAGAGAGCGAGCATACAGGCGCTGGGGAGCAGTTTGCAGGATCAGAACTTCAGCCTGCTCTGGGTAATAAACCCTCAGGAGAGGAAAGAGAACACCCCTTTTTTAAATACAGCTCTACTTATCTTAACATTTCTTCTTAATAGATTGTGTTGGCAGTCAGACTTTAAGCATGTGATTAAACTGTTAAAATATCAAGATATTTGAGGATTATTTACTGTATTAAATCCTCTTACACACAGTGTACTCTATTGCCCCGTGGATAGTATAATATCATGACTGGCATGACTGGTAATTTTCCTTTTCTTTTTTAGTACAAGGATGCATTTATGAAAGCAAATCCAGGGTACAAGTGGTGCCCCACGACAAACAAACCCGTGAAAACCCAAACACCCACCGTTACAAACAGGAAAAAGCTATGGGCCTTTGCATCAGACTCGGCAAAAGATTTACCAAGCCCGAGGAAAGTTGCAAAAAGTGAAGAAATGCCACGGCTTAACTTCGCGATGGCAGGTGAGATTTCTATCCATTACTCAGATGTAGCATCCTTGTTTTGTTTGAGGATGCGGCATTGAAATAGAACTGTGATAACCAGTTTTCTTTACTGCATGTGATACTATAGTGCAAATAGCTTTCATATCCCAAATTAGGTTGCCAAGACTCCAGTTAAACCTCTGCATAATAACTTTCTAAAATTTTTCTTAGTGCATGATTGCTTTCAAGAGTCAAGTGTGGCAGCGTAACCTATACCCCATTTGGGGTCCAGATTGGATTGATTTTTAATTGCGGCTTGTCTACTGTCAGAGATTTTCTAGTCAAAAAGGAAAATGCTGATTGTGTGCATTCTTCTTCTCTTTCGTAGAGTGTTGTACTATGTTTAGTAATTTGCTGTTGACAAAAATAATTCATGGGTATCTATGAAGTTGGAGGTGCTAACATTCTTATGGATGAATATACTGCTGGAGCTAACTTTTTGTATTTAAATCAAGGGCAGAGTAATTTAATTAACTTAAAATATGCTCTTTTCTCCATTATACTATGAAAGGGGTGTATTCTAACCTTTTAAATGTTAAAAAAAAAAATAATCTATGAATAAGCATAGGTGGTGTGCCTGAACTGGTGAAAGGCAGATAATCTCTCACTGATAACCACAAATAGCAGAGCTGTTGCAATCACGGCCTTGAAATACAGATATATTAATGTTAAATACTGGCAGCTTAAGAACCTAGCAGTGAAGGTACAAAATATTTTTTTCCCCCACCATATTTTTTTTTCTTACGGTTCAAAGTTTCTAATTTTATAAATACATTTGAAACTTCGTTGTGGCCTCCCCAGTTTGTGACAATTGTGTGGCAGATAGGACTTTTCTGCTTAGAGAGATTGTGAGCTGGAGAGTGGAAAATGGTGTTATGGAACAAGTGTAAAAAGATAAAAAGGCATGTATACCTTTTTGCCAGTATAGCAGTATGTAAATTCGTGTAATGAAATTCCTTTTGGCTATGAAGGAACTGTGAAGTGTGATCAAAATAAGGTTTTTCATGCTAGATAGTTATGATATATAGGAGACCAGTTCTAAAAATCTCAAGCCCCTTCATCCCGTTCTGCTTTCACTATCAGAGGAGTAACTTCTGTACTCCTTAGAGGTTTTTTTTATTTAACACAATCGACAAGTAATAAGCCTCAGTCAGCATGTGTGCCATCCATCTCCGCTCCTGCTGGGCTGTCCAAGTGTAGAGTTTCTGAGTACAGAGAGATCTTGAATCAACACTTGTCAGAGCAGAGGACAGAGAAATTAAGGATTAATTAGAAACTAATCCATTGTTTTATCTATAGAGCCATTAACTTCTGAATATGGCCCTTTTGTGCTACACGTGATTTTTTTTTTTTCCTGCAGACTGAGTCAATGAGAACAGTAATTCACAGGAGTCTTTCTCCAGTCCTCGTGCCAATGAAGGTTGGCTGTTTCTTGAGTATAGCAATAGCTCATAGAATAATGACAGCTTCTGACAAGAGACATTAGCAGCATCCAAATTATGACAAGTCTGTCATGCCAAATGGATTACTGTTTTGTCAACTATGTACTAGTTTGTGCTGAATACATTTTGTTGTGGTCTTCTCTCTTTGATTCTTCATGCAATAGTTTAATTCAACTCTGACTCTTCTATCCAGCAGAACTTCTTTTGAAATCCAGGCTGTGTACTAGCTGATGAACTGAAATGTAGCTGAATCACCTCAAAAATACTTTTACCTTTGAAATGCTACTGACTGTCTTGCATTTCCAGGGCAGATAGCTTCTTTAGGACAGGGATTATATGATTCCAGAATCATTCCAGGAAATCTGTTTTAATTGGTAGTTTTCAATCCTGTGTTGATTGTTTTTTACATATTACATTTCATTTTGGAAAATATCGTGTATAGAGCCTAAGATCTTCCTTCATTTTTTAAGTCACACACAGGCCATTTCTCTCCTTTATTTTTTGCATTCCAACAATAACCACCCCACTTTTAAGCCTTTCGTGTTGACCTGTCATTGTGTCAAGAACCTGAAGTGTGGCACCAGCATTGGGCTTCTGACCTGCAGACTCACTAGTGGCGACCCTGCTCATCCAGCCTGGAAGCTATTGTGTTTTTTCTCCTTACATGGCTCACCTGTGGTCTGTTATAGAGAGAACTGTTGTTCACAGGTGAACGTGACTGTTGCTGCATCTACCCTCAAAACTACAGAGCTAAGTGAGCAACAGCTTTGCTATACAAATGTGCAGGATTCCCAATACTTTTGTATTTCTGCATCAGAATAAAGCTATGTGAGACAAAAAGCTTTTTAGTGAAGCAACAGGTGGAAAAAAGACACTTCCTGGAGTAGGTAATATCCTGATAGAAATGCAATTCATATTTTTTACAAAAGAAGCTTAATTCTGTACCTAGGTAAAAGTTAGTTGAAACTGGTATCTGCTGGTTGTCTTTCTGCTTAGTTTCTCTTCGGTTCTTTCTTTCCTCTGACCAAAAAATGCGATGATGATCAAGCCAGATCTGAGCTTCTAACCAGACCAATACTAACAAAGCATGTCATTCGGACGTAGTGAGATGGTTTTAAGTTTCATCAATTTTAAAAGCTGTTGAGAAAGTCACAAATCGTCTCCCATTCTGAAAGTCAAATGTGTGTACTGTTCTGTCACTACTGTTGATTTAACTGTAAATTGCTTTAAAATAGCACTTAAAATAATTAATTTTTCATACCAGTAAGTTTTTTGTGCCATAAGAGAAACATTGTTTTGCTGAGAAGGCACTATAAACATATGGCAATGTTTGCATATGCACATTTTTTCTTTCCTTAGATGAAGTTATTCTGTAATTTGAAACCTTAGTGGAAGGATTTTTGGTTTTATCATGATCAGACATCTAAGTGCCAGCCCTCTGCTACGGCTGCAGCATAAGTATTCAAGTTAAGCACCAAATTGAACTTTCACTTTCCACTTAGCTGTCATTTTTTCCCTTCCTCTTAATTTTTATATTTAAACAGTTTAAGTATTTGCTTGCTTGAGGGGAAAAACAGTCCAGTTGCGATAAGCTACTTACTTGAAGGGCAGAAAGCTGAGACCACCAAGAATTTATTTTGAAGAGGGGGAAGAATTTTAGAGCCACAATCTGGGTGTTCTCCAGTTGGCCAAAACTGAGGAGGGGGAAGAAGACCCACAGGTAACTAAAGTGAAGCAAAAGAGAGCAGCTGGAAGCCATCAGTTTGATGTGGACATAAGGAAGTGCTATACTGCAATGTGTCAGGCAAAGTGTTTTCAGGAACTGTAGAGAAGAGTTAATGCCATTGAACAGAGCACAGCTCACCTGACATGGTTGTGGTGCTGGTCATTTATGTACAAGAAAGATTAACTCCACCTGGAATAACTGGAGCAGAAAGCTACAGGGATCACTGGGACTGTGGGAGACAGACATACTTGGTGACATCAAGAGATCTTGATTTGCTTAGGCTAGGAAAGGAAGTGGAAGAAGAGCAGGGTGACTCCTGTAAATGCAAAAGAGGGCAATACCATTTAGGGAGAACAGTTATTTAATCTTAAAGATCCAGGCACCAGAAAAAATGTGTACCACCTGGCCCTGAGTAAATTTAAGCTGAAAACTTGAAGAAAGCTCTTAATGCTTAGAAGATTTGGGTTCTGCAACAGCCTTCCAATGAGAATAAAGAAAATAGAAAGCAGCAAGCCAAGCCCTTACTGTTTAATATGAAGCTCAGAAAGATTATGATGGGCCTGGAGATCTCTTCCCATCTCTTTTTCTTCCAAATTAACTGCCTGCTCAGGCATTATCTTTCAAGATATGTGTTCACTTATAACTTCTTAATTGCTCTGATGTCCTCTGGTTTAAAGGACTGAACTGTTTCTTATCAAGTATTTTGATGGCAAAAGTGCTGTGCTGACAGGGTAGCTTCACTTATGAATTGTGTTTAGGTACTTGCTGGCCCTCCCCATTTTCTGTCTCCATTTCTTCAACCACTTCTTGTTACTAAATCATACTCTTTTGATAGTGCCTTGTCTCTTTGTAGAAACTTAATATCTTTTGTTCCCTTTTTTATTTAAAAGTAGAAACTTGTTAAAAAAAAAAAAACAACACAAAAACCAAAACTACAAAAAAATCCCACATATTTTCTACTTGTTTATTATGGTAAAGGAAAAGAATAATTGCAGTTGAACAGTGGGTTTGAAGCCAGATACTGTTTAGACTGTGTTCTTAAGATAATGGGCCACTCTTCTATCCTTGAGATAGTGGATGAACCTGGTTTATTTACATTGCTTTCCTCTGCTTCTGTTTACTGCTGTTTTAAGAGAGTATTGAAATAACTTAGAATGTCAGTGTGAGATGTTGTCTGAGGGAGGACTTCTGGCAGTATCTGTGGTATTGAATTAAACAGCACCAGTGAGTATTCCTGTGAACTGGACCTTGATCATGGGTAGGACTGAATTGTTTGGAGGTTTACAGGTACAGGTTTGGCCCATGTCAGCTGAAAAGCTCAACAAATTCTTCAGCTGCACTCATGAGTGGGAATGGGCCAGGGGGTATCCCAGTGGCCATATTGGATGCAGCTATTTTGCATCCAAATTTTGCATAACAAAATGCAACCAAATGGACAAGGGTAATAGCACCAGTTGGCCTCCATTCCAAGGAGTGGTCCCAGGCACGTGTGATTTATTGTTGTAGAGAGAGTTTTTGTATAGTTTAGTGAAAGGAAATTGGAAAAAGTGAGTGTGCACTTAGTGAAACCCAGGGAAAGTTACTTATTTTTGGTGTCTCATCATTGCTGAAGTTAGTATCTCAGCAATACAGCAAGGACAATGCTTCCCTCTCTCTCATGTTCTGGCTGTTGTGTGAGACATTTGTGCCACAGACTGTCTCCCTCTTAGTATGCGACACTGTTAAATTGGGCCCCTGCATTGCTTCCAATGTACTCCTCCAAAATCCGACAATTAGTCTTCATAATGATGAAGAGTAACCACTGTTCTGAGTGGAAAAGCCACTCCATGAGTAATGCAGTGCCAGTGTTCATTGCTTTCACTTCTTATTGTTGTTTTCTGAGCTCCTGAGGTGAGGGAAGGCTGGAGGCAAGAAGCTGTCAGCATCATATACTTGGAGAAAGAACATTTATATCTCCATTTTACTTTCCTCAATTATATGTTGCATTGGCAGGGCAACAAGTAGGCAGGCAGCTTGCCTGGCCAGTGCTTGTGCTGTTCTGGCACAGAGGATCAAGGGCTTCATGCTTCAGAGCTGTCAGGCTGGAACTCTTCACCACTAAATGCAGCTCTAAATTAAAGCTAAATGAAAATAGAAATTTTACTTCAGAGCTTGATCATGTCATTTTGTTCCATCCTTTTACTTGTTCAGTGGCTAAGGAAGGGAGCCACTGCCTTGGTAGGAGCATCCATTGAGTTATAAACATGTGTGATATTAGAACATCTTTGTGTATATTTATGTATGAGATCATTACAATTGCTGTTTTAAAGATATCCATCTCTGTATTCCGTAAAACCTTTGGCAGTAAAATTGTAAATCCACGCAATGGGGTGTTAAGCACACAAATCCAATTAAATCCTTCAAACAGCTTTGAAAGCCTCTCCCAGAGGGTACAGAAATGGTTATTTGTGATTCTCTTGAACTGCCTTTTATGGCAGCTTGCTTAGAGTGTCTGTGACAAGTAGTCTTCTGGGGGTTTAACACTTTAAATGGTAGGTTCTTTATAAACAAGCAAATGAATAAACTCAAGACTTGGTTTTACTCTTTTAACAGATCCTACACAAATGGGAGGCCTGAGCATGCTGCTTCTAGCAGGAGAACATGCCCTGACTGCACAAGAGGTAAGGAACTCCCGTCTTTCCCTTACTGTGAGCCCTCAGTTTAAAGAGAGCTCTGAAGAGGAATATTTGAGCAGTGGGAAGTGAAATTTAAAATACATCTTAGGTAACCTCCGGTGGGACTGAAGTGTGAGCCCTGTGATATGAGTCTTCTATCCCAAACGTGAATCTAGAGATTGGGCCATGTTTTTATATCAGTTCAATATTAACGCTGGTGACTGAGTACTTGATCAGACCAGGCAAGTCTGCCCCATGAGAGGATACTGTCACAGGTAGAAGGGTTGAAATACAGTGACTGTGTTAACAAACAGGTGGTTTGCAAGCTCTTTTGGGCAAGGATTTCGTGTACTTGTACAGTGCCTCACACAACTGTGGCCTTGGCACTAATAGCAAAATAAATACCTAACAATTTCCCTATAGTCAGTGTCATTATTCTAAAACCATGCAAGTGCATGGTAATCAAAGTATTGCAGTCTACTCCTATTCACCAAGTCTTTATGTCTAAAGAGAAGTTTGTATTTCAGTTGCCATCAATCATTTTGTTTTCACAAAGGAGTCTAGTAAATAAGTGTTCCTACATATCTCCAGTAGTGCAGAGACCTCTGGTCTTTCCTTAGATGGATTATTATTTATGATCTATTTTTTTGGACCGGCTTTGAAAATTGTTCAAAAAGTGGCTTGTATGTTGGATAGAATAGGTAGTGACTGCCATAAATCTCTAGCCTGCAAAGAAGAGCTGTGGAAATGAGGAGGATTTCTTGTTTCTTTCTTTGTTGTTACTGAGGGAAAGAAATGATTAACTATCTATATGTGATACCCCCAAATGCAAACTGTATAGTGCATTTGAGATGGATTGCTCTTGTACTGCCAAGGCTGAGCCAAGACTCCTCAACGCTTTGTGCAACATTTGGAGCAGTGGAAGTCTTTGTGCAGATGCAGGTACTGGCTTTCTGTGCTGCAGCCTGAAAAATAAGAAACACTAGGGTAAGGTTGGCAGAGAAGTGAAAAGAAATTGATTATTTTGTGCTAAAATTAGAATGTTTTGTAGTTTTCAAACTTTGAATCTCTCAGCTTGGAGTTTAAAAACTGTTGGTTTGAGAAGGAAGGTGTATTGTAGTCACATATTTGGTTACATTAAGAGAGGTCTTTGCTGTGACCTTGTGAGGAGAGCTTTCTTGGTTTTGCATGAAAAGTCCCTTAAGTAGTACGATTTCAGATGGCAGTGAAGGAATAAAATCTACATGTGGATTTAGAGACATAGTGATACTTACAAAATTGCCTTGAGGCTTCAGTCTCCATCTTTGTATGTCACTGGTTATGTTCCTATTTTTATATTTTTTTTCAATAGACTACAGAGTTTTTCTTGTGATAACAGAATTCAGTGTTGGTACATGATTGCTTTCCAAGCAGTGTCTGGAGTAACCAAAGCCAGTAGGCAGGAGAAGCTACAGATCCTGCCAGCAGTAACAAAGGACTTGGGATATGCAGTGAGTTTCCACCTGGTTTTGGGTCCTTTAATCAGTTATACAAGACTGTGGTGTGTATATGAGCATATTTTGTTGAACACCTGAGCAGAAACACCAGATGGGTCTGCTCCAGCTGCTGTTGTCATGCCAGGCAAAGCCTGTCCTCACGGCAGGTTTATTAGGAGAAGGCTTGAAGCTGGGTGAGGAGTGCACCTTGCTTGCTCGCTCACCTCCCTCCCTGCACCTCTCCCTGATTTGCCCATCAGGCCCTTTGCTTGCCTTACAGCAGCACCTAGTGGCCTGTCAGTAGATTACTGCCCAGAAATCCTGGAATTTACCAAGTAGTCCAAAACGTGGCTCTTCTGACAGTTTGCCCCTCTTGGTGCTGCCCGGCACATCAGGGTGGCATTAAAGCCTAACATCAGTCAGTGCAGAAGGTGAGCCAGGGGCTGTCCTTCACCTTCATTCGGGGGTGATCTGCTTTAGAGAAGGTTATAGTAACCTGCAGGGAAAGGGAGGCTACGGAGTCATTATCCTTGTGGTTTCCTTCTCTTTGAGAACAAAAGGTTATCTTGCATGCGATGCTGGGTCTGCACAGGGTGGTATTGCCTGGGGTGTAAATCAGCAGTGAAAAGTCTCTCAGTGCAGCTGAGGGTGAGCTGGGAGGAGGAAAGAGAAGAAGAAAGGAGGAGATGTTGAGGATGTTTAATCACAGGAAGGAAATGAGATGTATGCGATGGCACTACTTGTGCATCATTCCCTCTGGTGGTTATTTTAACGCTTTGATCGAATTCAGCCTGGCAGAGAAGTCCTGCCGATAATAAATTTCCCACAAGTCGGGAGCATGTGGGGAGCTGCAGTGTAGAAGAAACAAACTCAGATTAGTGCCTCTCTCAAGCAAAGGCAACAGCATTAGCTTTTTGAAGATAACAGAAATTGATAGGAAAAATATGGTTCTTCTAACTGTGTAATCACCTCTGAGTTATTGGGCACCAGCAATCTGTCCTTTACACCCAAAGCTGTTGGAAACTGGGCTTCACACCTTCCATGGCTTGTGGTTCCTGTACTGCAAGATGAACAAGCTGTGCCTGGCCCTGAGCACCTGGCTGTGGAGGCAATGAGGAGCCTCATCCTCCCTCTCTGCACCCGCCTGAGGAGTGAATGCCTTACAGCGCTGGTGTGGCAGGGGCTGAGCTCTTGGGAGGGTTTCTCTGCTCCAGCACGGTGCTCCTGGGGTGGCGTGGGTCAACGGCTTACAACTTGGAGCTGGTTGGTGCCCTGCCAGCTTGGGCATGTGTTGACACATTCCTGTGGACGTGCCCCTAGATAGGCAGAGGAAGTTGCAAAGCCATTGTCTGTGTTACAGCGGGTGGGCACAGTTCAGGCATGTGTGCGTGGCCTGGCAGCACCTTTCTCAGGAAGCGAGGGGTTTCACATGGCTTCCTCGTTCGCATTGCTTCTTCTGAGCAAAGTAGTGGCCTTTCCTACAGTACATTGAATAGGCTCCACTTCCAAACAAGCTGCTCCAATAGACGCCACAAACTTCAGCTACATAAGGCAGCTGGTCAAACTGCAGAAAATGTAAGTTAAATGGGGAACCAGATCCCAAATTTGGTTATTCCTGAGAAAGTCCCACCAGTGAAGTGGCCTGAAAAAAACAAATGAGCACTCATACATGCAAGCAGCATCCTTATATATTTCACACTAGTGCAGAGGCTCGGACCTTCGGAGATGGGTAATTCAACAGCAGCAAGATGAGTGTGCGTCCCTAGTACAATCTACACCACTGCTGAGACACAGACCTCTTAACCAATACAGAAACACCAGAAAAGCAGTAATAAACATTACCTCTGTGAAAATGGTCACAGAAACCATTGAAAAAGCAAAAGACAGGCATTAAAAGTACATTCTTTGTAACCCTTTGGGTTGGTATACTACCGCAGTACACTGACGAAACATCCTGCTTGGTGTTTAATAAATAAAATGGAAGCATAGATCACAGGAGGCACTGTTACTGCTTGGTTTGATGGCAGGGAAGAAACAAGTTTGACTGTGTACGTAAGCAGATTGTCATGTGATGTAGTTCCCTTTGGCCTGTGGGCTGCTACACTTGGATCTAGTGTTTTTAGGGGAGTATGGGTAGCAGATTCCTGAAACCAAATGCCACTGGTGTGTGCTATTGCAGTGCATAAGCATCTCGGACAAACAGCAGCAGTACAAACAGCACGTGCTGTAAGCCTGGCTGTTCTGTGGTGCTTTGTGCTCACAGGCAATAGGTGCAGTTGCTAGCTAAATCTCATGTGTACAATCACTAAAAAATGCTATTGACATACTTGGTTTGGTAATAATAAAACCCCACACATTTGAATTGAAATGTTTTAAATAGCCTGAAACTTCATGAAAAATTAAAAATTGTAAGGGGGAAGAAAAGTCTGTCCTGTTACTTATCTTTCTGAAATCCTGCAAAGCCTCCTTTTCATTTCCTGTAAGCCATATCACATGCCTTATTTCATAGTAACGGTACTTCATGCTTCTGTAGCAGTTACACATATAAATCTTTTATATTCAAATGTGACATTTAATGAATGTATCATATTGAATAAAATTCCTCTACAGAATTATGCTTGGTTAACATATTTCTGGCTAATAAGAAAAGTATTGCTGAGCTCTGTGTTAGTTCGAATGAGGCTGTTGTTTTTGAACAGTAATTTCTTCATATTTTGATTTCAGAAGTTACGACTCTTTCCTATACTGCTTCTTCTAAGCACCCCTAAATGGATGTTTAGGTACATTATTTGAGCAATTCTAGGTGTGTGGTATCCTTAACTACTAATTTTCCTGCAGTTAGGTGATTGAGGATTATTTTTCTAGTAAATATTTCTGTCACTTAGCAACCCTCAGTGTCTTAAATTTTTTCTTTTTTTAGCTTCTAAGTAATTCTTGTGTTCAGAATGGTAGTACAAATTACAGATACAGCAGTGTTGACAGCATCACCAGTACAAGGTAGTTGTGTGTGTAGCCCAGTATCATCAGTTTGGTATTCTGTTGCGTAGAACTCTGTTGAAAAGTTTGGAATTATAAAAGAAAAAAAAATCCCTGGTATTTTTGTGGTTTTCCCTCTTAGGTGATTCTCAAATGGATTAAAATGGGTGCTAGATTGTGTTTTGACATATAAATTTGATTTAACCTGTTCAGGACTGTGAAATGTTAGATTGCCCATCTTCTCTTAAGCACTGCTTCTTGCTACTGCTGCGTGGTATTTTGTTTTACTCACGGTTGTTCTTAGCTTGAAAGAAGCACTTTAGAGGTGTTACGCTGCACACTCCTTGTTTCAGGTTTCCTCAAGTACTTGCCAATCTGATGCAACTAATTCTACAGAAGCCTGTCAGAAGTCATCATTGTTTCAGTTTGCAGAGGTGAGTTTCTTTAAAAAGGGTTGTCTTCCCCAGTGTCTCCTTTTATGAAGTGTGTGATGTTCACCTGAAAGAGAAATCAGAAATCTTTAGCTAAAATTCATGCTTTTCTTTGTTCCTTCTTTTTGGGTTTGTGGTACTGGATCAGTTATCAGGTAGATAGGTCAGATTTGAAGTGCAGGAGAGTGTGTTTAGGAACATGGTGGAAACCGTGGTACAATAATGGAACTGTGGTTTAAGCAGTAATTTAGAGATGTGTCACTCCTGCACTTAGTTTTAAACCAGAGTCTTACTAACTAAAGTTTTAACATATATATTTGGATGTTACATTATGTCCTCTATTTATTGTGGCTGCTTTAGTCGTTGACTTCGTCTGTAGTTCTGGAATTTCCAAAATTATCTTCTATTATCACCAAATAGCTCTCTGCAGCTATGCTTTAGTTTTCCAATTTTGACAACATGTTTCCAGTTATTGTTAGAAGTGCAACTGTGATGGTGGTATTTTTTTTTTACAAAGTATACACTATTTAATCCAAGTTCTAATGGATTTCATTGACATAAATAACATGACAAGAATGAGGTTGCAAAGAATCCTGGTCCTCTGCAAGCATCACTTGCTTGTTTATATCTTTCCAACTTTTGAAATGGTCATAGTCAAGTGACATATAAATATTTATTTGTATAAATACTGATTTTACAGGATTTTTCATACCTGTCTTCACACCATCTATGAATCTGACTCCCATATCTTTAGCACTCGTTGCTGTGTGCACCTTCATACTCCCCCTAAGCATCATCACTTACAAGGCAGATACATTGCAATCCTAGCACACAGAAAATCAGGGTGGGAGGGGGGGAGTGTTTTGGGATATTTGTTTTTGTTTTAAAATCAACCCACAAGACCTTGAGTTCCAACTCACGTAGTAGTAGGCAGGAATTGTGTTGTGTGCTGCAAAATATGCTCTTGCTTAAGGGGTTGCGGCTGCTGGCTTTTCCTTACCCATCAAAGAAGAACTTCAGTGGGTGCCAGGAAACAAGCTCATCTGCAGCACTTAAAACATGTGGTTTAGAAGTAGCTCACTGATGATCAGTAATTGGAAATGCACGTTAGCTAGTCTTAATTTTCAAGGATGTTAAACAGCCTGTAGTGAGGCTGCACCTAACCAGTGCACGGTAGGTATGTGTGTTAATGGCAGAATAATTGGTACTTGTACCAAGGTCTAGCATTAATCAGAGATGTAATTTGTGACAAAAATAACTGACCCAAGTATAAAATGCAGTTCCCTTGGTGTCTGGAATGGATCTGGTATAGAGATACCTTAAAGTACCTTTAAAGTACCTTTTTCCCTTTTTTTTTTTTTTTTTCCCCTAGATACTTTAAAGTATCTCTTTTAAAGATATGTTAAAGTACCTGTATGTGGTGTGTCCCTGTCCACACTTGGATTTCGTGCTAAGGAGCAATAGGAGTCCTATCAGTACCACCATTCTGCAACCTCGGCTCTTCCACTGATTGGTGAAATACAATGTAGTGTTAAGTTTTTGCTGCTAACCCTCTTTTGATATATCAGTGCAAATAAAAGCCCCTCAAAAAAGTCTTAGCCTGTTCTGTTGATCCTAGAAAAGATTTTCCTTGTGAAAAATAATTCAGGATCACAATTTCGCAGATCACCTATTTACATGTCTCCTGCAAAGCAGATACTGTTCTTTGTGCGGGTGCACTGCGACTCATTTGCGTGCTCTTAAGTACCAGGAGTTTTTCTGTATAATGGATCAGAAATTTAGCACATTGAAGCTGAAGAGTTAGGTAATACAAACATAATTGTTTTCCTGACAGATCTCTTCAAGCACATCACAGCCTGGAGTCCTGGGAGCTGTAAAACAAACTGAGGATTCTGCGTTGTTTCAGTTTGCTGAGGTACAATGTCTGAAATATGGTGGGGGAGGATGGGAGGAAGCAAGGAATCAGTAAGAGTTACCACTGAATGGCTAGAGCACCCTGTCTCTTAAGGGGTTCCCATCGGTAGATGTTTATGTAACAGCATTGCATTAAAAAAAATTGTGGGGGGAATAACCAGTGGTTTGAAGACGTCAGCCAGTTCTACCAGCTGTAGCATGCACAAAAGATACTGGGCTTGTGAACATTACTTGGCCTTTCATGCCAAAGGACCACTGCAGAGGTTTTTTTCCAAGCAGCCTTTTAATTTACATCTAGGAAAAAAAACAAAAGACATTCTGAAATGACAGTATGCACTGCCTATGGAAGAGGCTGCAGCAGTGCAAAATGGCAACTGCCCTACAGGCAGGAATCCTTTGGAAAACAAATTTGCAGGTCAAAGGAAGCTTATGGCAACAGCTACAAGGATATGTACGAAGGACAGGTGGTGACTTATAAAGCCTATAAATTACCCATAAGTATGTAAGCTATCCTTCTTTCTCCACATATTGAAAGATTAGGAGTTCTTAGGGATTGCTTTTAAGAATTTCTTCTCCTGTGTGCCTCTATGAACTGACGTATGTATTCCATACATATATATACTCTTCTTGCCCATTTGGGGGAGTCTGGTACTGCTTGCAGAATCGATTACTCTAAAGGTATATTCAGGATGTGTCTGAAAAGACTGGGATTGGAGCTGTTGCTTTCGTGGAGGAGCCTAATGGGATGAAAAAATCCTTTTCATTATTCTGTGTGCTTACAGAGGTTTCACTACATACAAGACACTACTTTCTGTTAAATGTTAAGTTAATTGTGTTTTTTAGCTTGGCTAGGATGGGCCTTTATGTATTTCTTAGGAGGTCCAATAAAGAAAAAGCAGTTTACTGATTGAGGTGCCATAAAATACCTGACTACAAAACACCCCTATAAAAGATACAATAGAGTTAATGTGTCTAATTATGAAGGTGCTTGCATGTGTACTACTTTTTTTTTAAAGTGACAGGTTAATTTGAAACGTTCTTTTGAGAAAATTGGTGGAATTGAGCAGGATGAAGCTGTGTGCTGAAGCCAACCTTTTAAACCAAGTAAAAGATATAAGCTGGAGAACATTTCGTATGATTTTTTTTGCAAAACACTTCACAAGTGAATCTGCTAACTTAGTTTCAAAAATCTTGGCCATCTTACATTTTAAACAATTTCAGATGTCTACAGAGTTGAATAGGGTATGAATTGCTTTTAGTATAGCATTTCCAAATTGTCGTGTAAAACCTAATTTAGCCATACTTCTCAGTTTCACAGAACCTAAAATAATTTCCTCTCCTAATTGAAAAAACAACAAAATGACAAACCTGAAAATTGTCGTACAGTTGTGACCATCCATGGAGTTGCGTACCACTATGCTGAGCCAGCTCAGTTGGCACGCTGGAGTGCATGTATGAATCAACAAATGTTAGGTAGAAGAGGTGCTTAGAAAGTTAATTAGAAACTGGAGAGGACAGTTTTAAAGTCAGGGTTAATCTCTTTTTCTTGTAAAATTATTACAATGTGTGTGCAGTCTGGAGGGGGTTGTATCTTTTTCATTGGTTTTTTTTAGTGTCTGGAGATAAGGGATAGAACTCTGGGGGGAAAAAAAAAAAAAAAAAAACCAAAAAAACCAAGCCCCTTGTTGGCCATGGTTATTTCTCCTGTGTTTTACTGTTGTCATGGAACCTTAATGGCAGTGCCGAACATCATGTTTTATCTATAGCAATAGAAATTTTTTTTTAAGATTGCAGCCTTATTTAATTTAGGTTGTTCCAGGGGAAAGTATTGAGCATTCTACAGAACCTCTTTAAGCTTTCTCCCCCTGCTATTAAAGCTCCTTGTGCTTTTTCAAATTAAAGGGCTTTCATTTGCACAGGGTGTCTTTGTCAAGTCTGGCAAAAATCCCGTTCCTTACTGTGCCACTTCTTACTGGGTCCTGTCTATATGAACGCATTACTGCATTTAGTAAGTTAAATTATGGTAAGCAATTTGCAGTAGGCTGCTGTCAGCAACATAACAGGGCTACAAAAGAAAAGAGAGAGGGAGAGAAACTAGTTATTTAGCCAATAGCCAAGTAGACCTGTGAAGAAATGTGAATTGTGCTCTGGTCTGATGTGCCTGGAGACTTTTGGCAACCATCCCAGATGAGTTTGGGTTCTGGCTGGGTGTTCTTCATATGTTCCCTTTCTCTTTGCCGCCTTTGCGGCAGAGGGTATAAGAGTGCCTCTTTGTGAAGTCTGCGATCCCATTGAGTAGATTTGTCATTTAAAATGTACACCTTTACCCCAGGAGTACAAGTCCCCTGTCACTCAGAAACAGCTTGGTATATGTACATGTAGCGTGGGATTCTTTCTTCTTTACAGCCTCAGTTAGCCTTTCATCTGGTTGGCTGTCCCAAGTGCTATAGTCTTCAGTTAAAGCTGTTGAGGATATGGCTAATGAGGCCTGCCCGGTGACTTGCCACAATAGATAATGAAAATCCCAAGAGTAGGACTTCATTGGGTCCTGCGGGTATGCAGGCAAGCACCTTTGAGGTCTTCAAAGATGATGTGACATCCTCATAAGAGGTTTTTTTTTTGAAGTTTGGAGTGTTGCCAAGTTATCTTCTTGGCTTTCTCATTCTGCTCTTATCTTGGAAATACTTGGCCCTACTTTTGTCCTTTTCATTTGTACCTTTATAGAAAGCCGTTATATAAGGCAGTGATGTCTGAGCAGCGGGCTGTGTTCCTTAGCGTGGTGGCTGTTTGCAAGCCGTCTGCTCACATGGGCTGCTTGCTGTCATCCTCCCTGCCATGTGAGGGAAGCACAGCAGATGGGACCCCTTGCTCTCTTGGTCCTACTGGATGTGTGTTTGGCAAATGCGAACAGATGGTGATGACTGCTTTATAGAGAAGAAACACAAGTACCTCTTAGATTTACTTAGCCAAACTCTCGTCTGTTTATTAGAGAAAGAAAATGCTTCTTCAAAGTGGAAGCCATAAAATTACTAGTTTACTCATCTTAAAACTAAAACGAAGCCAAAAACCACAAACTCTTCACTTTCAGCTGCTTTTCTGAATTTTTCTCTAGGTGATTTAGTAAAAAAAAACAGTCAGATGCAGAATCCAACAAGGTGAAATTTTCTTTGCTATTCCAGCAGGTTGGTCTCATTTAAAAAGAATGCGTGCTTGAGGGTGATTTTGTCCCTGCTGTATTTTCACACACTCACTTTGAGTGGGCTTACAGGCAATCCTTTCTGTTTATTTCTGTGCTGAACAGAAGGTTTGAATTCAGAACTTTTAGTCAAAATGCCTTGAAACTGGGAGTGTGAGAGCTAGTCAGTATCTCCTCTTCCATCCTTCCCTTAGGTAAAGCTGTAATCTTCCCAGGTAAAGCCATTACATAAAATAGATTAATTAGTTGCTGTTTGTCTGTGTACTGAAATTATTAAATGTCTTTGTTGAAGTGAAATGCCTCTTCTAGGAGGGAAATGAAAAAGTGGTACCATGGCACATGCTTCTTAGGCAAGCTAGAATGTAATATAGTAGCTAAAATGCTGAGAAACATCGTAATAAAAGATAGTAAGTTGTAAGTTGATCCTAATGATCCACAAGTTAAACCTCTACATAAGAAGTGGCTATTTGTGGTTGTAGTACTGCAGGTTCTAATTATTCTAAATAAAACTGGAAGATGGTGTTAAGACAGGGAATGAGATCTGTAATCTCCCTGATTGCTGAATGATCAGTTATACTTCTGATGTTTGGCCAGTAACTTTGTCAGAAAGAGTTCTAAGTTTGTCTCTTGCCCTTGTTTTCTTCAGTATGAGAATTTTTTTTGCTGAAGTGAAATGTTGGCTTCCTTTCTTTCTATTAGTACTGCAAGGTTTTTGCTTGCATTTTGTTAGGAGCACCCGTTCTATTGTCAGAAAGAAATTCTTTACTCTTTCCTCATATTGTACATCAAGAGGCAAGATATGCAAGCATGTTCTTGAGTTATACTTCAGAGTGTGGGTGTTTTTCGGTCCCTTTTCTGCCGTTCACACAGCACTGAAAAAATCATTAAGAGCTGAGAATTTATTATGGTAGAAAGATAAAAAGTTGATGCCCTCTTCCTGCAAACTGCAATGTACAAGGTCACTTACTCCAGTGAGTTCCTGAGGAGGTTCACTGAACTGTCTCAAATCAAAACTAGGATTTTGAATTATTTTAGTTTAATATTGAAAATTATTATTAATGCACATTCAAGTATTATTCACTGTATTTTAAATAGCTTGCAATAAAATTTATGTTCTGGATTTGGGGGAGGGTTGTAATGAATCTTATCAATTGAAAAGTAAACTCTTCAAATGATCTAGTTCAAAAGAAATACATTAGGTATAAAGAGAAAGGCTAAGCTGGTAATTTTTGCATCTGAAAGATCGTGTTCATAAGCTTGATTTTTTTTTTATGAGGCAGATGCCGTGGAAACACTGGTGGTCTTGTCCTTAATCTTAGGGCTTTTCAAAGCTTCCAGGTCAAATACTACCATGTAATGCCATGCTAAAAAAAGATAAAAAAGGAGAAATAATGGTTAATTCTTGCATTGGTGAACTCATAATGCCACACTTGGAAGCGAGTCAGAAAAAATTTGGCTGCAAAAGCAGTTTCCTGAAGTGCAGTGGTAGTTATTTACTCAGTGCTGGTGCTGGCACACCAACATCTATTTACAAGGCTAGAATTGATCTCCAGACATAAGGTCTTAGTTCTTTTTTCTAACTAAAGAAAGTGAAACAAGCAGTGCCTGTGAGGACATATGGTCCTCTTCTGTATCTAACCAAGTGGGAAATACTGCCCAGGTTTCCCAGGAGAATTCTATTTAACCTCGATTGCCACACTTCATGTTTTCAAGGAACACGTATGTCATGTTCACTTAGTCACGTAAAGCACATGGCGTGGTAGGATATTAGCTGTGAACAATATGAACGTGGAAGAAGATCCATGAGCCTAATCTAAGGAAGAAATTCCATATTTGCTTGTATCATGCTGACTTCTAAATGCCTGTTAAGTTTCTTGGGTGGGATTGCCTATCTGAAGTAGGGCCTTCTGCCAGAAGGATCTAATAGTAACTGATTTAACTAAGTCCTTAATTTTTTCATTCTGTTTCTCCCTTCCTTTCTGTCTTTCCTGTGTGCCACTGAAATATTCTCTCCTTTGTTTATTTAAAACCTAGATCTCATCAAATACTTCCCAGTTGTCAACTCCTGAGCCAGCAAAGCACTGTGGGAAGTCGGCACTCTTCCAGTTGGCAGAGGTAACGTTATACCCATTAGCATCACAAGGGGAAGCTGTGTGTATCTTTCCCCCCAAAAAGTATGAATTGTGTAAGGTTTGCTCTAGTATAAAATTGAGTATTTCCAGAAACATAAATTAGTCAATAATGGAATAACAAGAGAATTAGGCAATGGCAATGACCCCAGGGACCTAGCTTTTCTTTATACGCTTGTTAATGTGCAGAGTTTCTTGGCGACCACACAGAAAAAGTTATGCTGCTTCTTAGAAAAATTAGCCTTGTAACTATAATAAAAGCAATGCTCGGGACAATAGCAAAGACAAGAGACAATAGCATTGTTCCTAATGAGGAGTTGGATACCAGGATTCAAAAAGTAAAGCTTTGGTTATAAGGACTGGAAGGTGCATTGCTGAATTGGGGATCAAGAACAAGAAAAGAAATGTAGACTTTGAGATCATCAGGAATCTGTATGAAGAGTTGGAAGTTGAAGCAGTGTATGAACTTCTGAAATTGGTAGCTGTCAGAAGTAATCAAAAAATACTAGGTCAGGTTTCCCAACAGTCCTAGAAATTCTCGAGTCTTAAATATAACCTTGTTGAGGTCTCCTCCTTGGTATGAATGAAGCACTGAAAAACCTTTGAGGCTTGATATGCAAATACTATTCTTCTTGATGATTGAAAGATGAAGATACATGCTATATTCCAAGTAAATAAAGGAGGATGCTAGCCTTACTTGGACACTTTTTTTTTTTTTTTTTTTTTCCCCTCCAAAATTGCATCCTGTTTTAGTGAGGAAAATGATTCTCTGGATCCCATCTAGTAGCATCCAGCCATATATTCTTGCTGGTGAGGTTAATCCCTCTCAGGGAAAAAAAAAGACAGATTGGAAGCACTGAAATAAAAGTATTTAATGCCTTGTTCCATGGATAGTAATGCTACTACCTGACTTTATAGGAACTTAGATGAGTGTAAGAAAACCTGCCTTACCCCGTAGGCAGTCCCTGGCAGTAGTAGAGTTTGTGTGTGTGCTGCGTTGTCAGCAGTACCTGTGTAAGGGTGATTACACCTGACTGTGATCAGTGATCCATAAAGGAATTTGACTGTTGCAGCCCTGGGACAGCAGAAAGGCTGGTAATATTTAGTCAGGAACACCAGAAGGTTCTGAGGTGTTCTCTTATGGGACAGCAGCACACTTGGACTAGTACCATTCTGAAGTAAAGCTGTTGCGGAGTGCAGCCTGACTTGGGGAAGTCTGTGTTAAAAGTTGTGATGTGACTGCGAAGCTTGTGAAGCCCTAATCTGGGGGAAGAACAAGCGTTTGTCCACAGGAGTGCAGAGTTCATATTGCAGTTGGTGGAAAAAGTGAAGCTAAGTTTGACAGTGTGACGTTTGCATGTTGGACAGGTTTCTGTGATCTCTCAGTGATTGCTCTAATGGATTCCTACAAGCATAAGTTAATATACAAAACAAATGTTAAAGGCTCTGATTCAAACTGAGAAAAGCGTGGCAGATGTGCTAAGCACATCCTCCTTGTCCCTAGCTCTTGTAGGACATCAGTGCTATTGATTCTTAGCCCCCTTGGCCTCCATTTTTGGAGATCTCTATAATGTTGGATTGTAATTGGATAAATAAATGTGAGTGATTTAGCTTAAGTTTTCAAATAGAAGTTCAGGACCTGGTTTGGAGCATCCCAAATAAACTGTGTTCGTGATCACCTTGAGGTTGTCTTATATTTGCAAGTTCCCTTGGTAAGATATCTGTGCCATGACGCTGTAACTCCCAACCGCAGATGCTGTACATTGTAGGGGACCGGGCAGGGGTCTGGCCATGGGAGCCTGTCTGCTTCAGCACACCACACTGCACTGCTCCTCCTTTGTCTCTCTGCTATGTAGATTAACAAATTTTATCTTCTCCCTTCCCTATGCCTTCCTTTTTGATATTTCACCGTATTTCACAGATGGTGATAAAATAAAATGCAGAAGTGGGTTAAATTATTTTCTAAAAAATTCAGAGAATTTCTAAGTTTCTAAAAATGGTTGGAGCAGCCGCCCTGCAGTCTGAAGCCTGGGATGCTGTTGCTGATCTGCTCTGCTGAGTCTCTCACTGTGCCTAAATGCATGCTTTGTCTTTAGCCTTCAGTGCAGAGGCGTGAGAGTAAAGGGAGGCAGTGGTGAGGGTGTGCGTCACCTCCAAAAGACAAGGAGGCCACTTCTGCCACAGAATGCTAGCAGTGCTAACAGCCCTTGGCTGTAAGCCATGTTTGGAGACTTGAGCTATAGTGGTCAGAGCTTGGGAGATGCTGTGAAGAGCTGCAGCTCCCAGGAGACATAGAGATAGCATTGTTGACCTTTTTTGTTTATTTCCTTTACAGCAATGATGGGTTGATTCCTGCAGAATCAACTTTGTGGGCCCATGTTGGTTGAGAACAATGAAAACTGAGTTTGCAGGCTATAGGGAGGGCGAGCTAAAAAAGCTGTAAACAGTTTAGTTTCACAGTCCCTAGAACTCCACCTCTTTCTAAGGAAGCAAGTATAAGAAACCTGCAAGCCTGATCGGAGACTATGGGATACGTCCTTAAAAGCAGAACATTTTTTCCTTCGTGCTAATGGCTATTCCTGGGACTGATGCTTTTAATTTGTTTAGAAAAAGATGATTTCTTTGCACCTAGCTCAAAATTGGTACAAAGTACTCTGTAAAACATTGAAGAGGATCATGGCCTGATACAGGAGAAAGATTCTGGAGAATAATCAGCTACCTGCTTGCCAGACAGCCTGCTGTACTCTGAGGAGTAGTAAAGTTCACCAAAGGCTTAAGGGCTTCTGCTTGCTTCACTTTGGTTTCATGGCATCTCTTTTATGAGTCCTATAGAGCACTAACAGGCAATGCCAAAGCCTGACAGGAGTAACCTCCTGAAGCTATGACAATGAAATGATTTTGCAATTAAATGTCCAACTAAGCCTTCAGAAACAGCACCATCTGGGTTGCATGCTGCTGTAGATTGGTGCTTAGCTGCTGGAGTCTGTTCATGTGTGAGAGAGCATGTGCTGCGATTCATCCTACTCTTCAAGTCCTGACCAGAAGATCCCCAAATCTGAAAATACCTTGTAGTGTCTAGTTGTGTTATCCACCAGAGCAATGGTGGAACAGGGTTTTATTTATAACAGCATACACAAGTCTGCAGTTCTTTTTCAACATATAGTCTTATGAATGAATTTTGGGAAGACAATCTGTTCAAAAGCTGCATGGTAAACATAAAAGAATTGTGCTGGTAAAATAATGTTGGTGTTTTTTTTTTCTCCCTCTCTGTTTTTTCTTTAGATTTCTTCAACTACATCCCATTCAGGTCCTTCTGATTTAACAAAACAGTGTGGAACATCAGCATTATTTCAGCTGGCAGAGGTAATATTAAAACACTGGTGGGTAATTACCACGGGTGCAGTGGGGTGGAGAAGTTAATGATGTTGATTGCTGAAGTCTGGAAGACAGAACAGTGCTACAGTTATAATTACACTTTTGCCTATAGGAGCATAAATTATCGTGGCTTGGGTGCCACAAGTCACGATTTCCCCAGACTAGCCATCAACTTAGAGGTTTCTAAGAGTCTGTGCTGCAGCTGAGAAAAAGTGTCAGTCAGTGGTGGCAAAGATCCTTTTCAATCACCGCTGAAATTGTTTCAGTTCCCTGTTTTAGGGTTTCAGGTTCTGACTGTTTGGTTTGGCCAGGGGACAGAAGGAGTTCAGAGAGAGGGCTGGGTAAGTCTGTTACTCGGATTAGGGCATTGCCATTACAAATTCCTGTTAAAGGTCAGTAGTTGCTTTTGTTTATTTTTGCTTTTCATGCCTGCTGTTTTTTAAAGTGGGGAAAAAATGCGTCAATAATTTCTGTAGAAACTCTGGTTTGATACTGTCAGCAGATCTTCTTTCTGGGAACAGTTAAAACCAATGGCCTCTTATTGAAATGTTGTATTTCTTCTAATTTTTTTTAAGCTTTTCCAGTCTTAAAGACTATGAATTGCAAGTTTATTTAGAGCTCACAAAACAGAAGTTGGTTTTTTGTAGCCATTTCTGTAGCCCTCTGTGCTATTGGCTACTGGAGATGAAGGTAAAGAAAAAAATAAGTCCATTGGTGAGAGGTGTGTGTGTTGAATTGGCAAAATATTATTACTGTCCAATGAGTTACATTTTAAATATTTGTCTTGAGCTTTTGAAAGTCACAGGCTGTATTTACACTGCAGTGCAGTAAAAAAGTCACAGAAGTACCTTGGTACCAAGAACCCTCCTGAGCATAGTTGTGGGGTTCTCCTCTGCGTAATTTAAGCTGCTTCCTAATAGTCACTGAGCTGCTCAAGCTCCAGTGTTTCCAGTGATCAACCTAGCTTGACCTGAACAGGCCAGGAGTTTCTTCCCTGTGCAGCAAGGACATCAGAAACTTACCACAAAGTGTTCTATCATTAGTGTTATGCTCATACATATATTGGTATAAGAGATATTTTTAGTTTACAAGGAAAAAATGCCTTGCTGATTTGAGAAATCTAAAATTGAGCTAAAGAGAACCCAGTGATCTGGAGGGGTACATCCCTACTGACCACATGGGCCATGGGCTGAAGCTGTGGGATAGGGAAACTCCTGATGTCTGGTTCAAAGCAAGCTTCTTCCATCTGGTTTTGTTCCTCGTGGCTGTTTGGTTCACATTTGTTTTAAAAGAACAATAACACTGGGAATGCAGCTCAGGGGCTATGAGAAGGAGAACAAGAACAAAAATAGCGTGTCTTCCCAAGGGCAGCTGCTTGGTGCTATGAAGTGTTCTACCCTCTGTAGCAGTGTCAGCGTAACTTACAGGTGGTCCAAAACCAAGAGGATCTCCCAAGTCAACGCTGCAGGAACATGGCAGTTCAAGACCTTGTTACAGCTCTTTTTTTTTTTTTTTTTTTTTTTTTTTTTTTTTTTTTTTTTTTTTTTGTAATATCACTGTTCTTTAGACAGTTTGAGGTTTTTGGATTCCATTAATGTTATCTCCAGCAGGAGATAACCATGGCAACCACTGCTGCTTTGCAGTTCTTTGCAAAATAAGTCTGTGACATGAGAAGAAAGATTTGGAAGGCTTTTTTAGTACCTTCCAAATTATTTTGCACATTCATGTAAAAGAAAATTGTTACTGGGATTCTATTAACTCCCCCCCTCCAGGGCCATTTCGAAAATGGAGGAGAGAATTGTATATAGGAACATTTGGGAGTTGAAGCACGTATGGGTGTGAGATTTGAAGTAACTTGTCTATAGCAATAGTGAGTATACAGTGATACTGTATTGTTTGTTACATTTGGGATATTCTGAAAATCAATCTAGCAGTGGGTTTCCAGGTTATGTAAAAAGCACTTAAAGGATCATAGAAACACCACTGAGACCAGTTGGAGTCTTTTTCTAGTAGAGCGGTAGAACCTGCCAGCCTTATTCTAGCACTTGGCCATCATCACGTAACATCAGTTTCAGCAGGGCTTCAGCATAGTTTTTTAGTATTGTCCTTTAGCATAGTTTGGTTTCCTGAAGGAAGATGGCAGAGAGATTCTCTGGGTAACGCGTCTGTTAATATAGGTAAGTAATGTTAACTGTTGATGTTTGTTTCATGGGACTATTTTGAAATATGTTTTAGATGTGCCTTGCTTCAGAAGGAGTAAAAGTGAAAGAACCTGGGAAGACAAAAGTGGAAGCACTGGAAGATGTAGGAAGGGAAGTTACAGAGGAAATGGATGTAGAAGAACTGGAGAAAACAACAATAAAAGATTCCTGTAAAGGAAAAGTAGAACAATCAGAAATGGAGAATATGCAAAACCAGGATGAGACAAAAGCTGAGGAATCAGAAACTGCAAAATGCAGAGATTTTACTAGTCTTGCAATGGAGAGCAGTCCTTTTGTGAGAAATTATAACACAAAGGATCATATGTGCTGTTCTCCAGAGCTTTCAATGGCTGACATGAATATCCTCGGGCTAAAGCCAGAAAAGATAAAGAAGAAAAAGAAAAAAAATAAGTTGGACCGGCACACGAATGAAAAATCCACCCCCAAGAAACCTTGTAAAAAGAGGCAGTCCTCCGAGTCGGACATTGAAAGTGTAATGTATACAATTGAAGCTGTTGCAAAGGGGGACTGGGGTGCTGAGAGACTCATGGAAACTCCCCGCAAAAAACCCCGCCCTGTCTCAAATGTGAAGGGAAGTGTGTTGGATACAAAATCACCAAAGAAAAAAGTGAAATCGAAAGAGAAGAAGACATCAAAGGAGAAACCCCCAGAGACCACCAAAGAATCAAAGCCTCCTGATTTCCTTAGTATTGCAGCCAGCAAGGAAGTACCCTGTGAGGCTTCTGATAACATTAAAGTGGAACCACTGACCCCAACAGAGGAGGTGGTACCCCAGAGCTTACCAGGACAGGTCAAAACTGAGGACAGTGACTGTGTAAAAAAGATAGAAACCTGTGGCTCCAGGAAATCTGAGAGATCTTGCAAAGGTGCTCTTTATAAAACTCTGGTGTCAGAGGGCATGCTCACATCTCTGCGTGCAAACGTGGACAGAGGTGGGTGGCTTTGAGTCTTCCGTTTACAGAGTGAACTGCAAAAGCCTGCCTGGAGTGGGAGGAAAAACAAAAGTCTTTGTTTAAGTGGAGTTGGAGCAGTGTGTGATGGGAATGCTGTGTCTGGTCACCTGAGATGCTAGGGGAAGGTGGAGAGGACAAACTCCATGGCCCAGGGCAGGTCTTCTGGAGTCCTGCTGTCTGTGTTCATGTTTAACCTCACAAGCTCTTAACCTCTCCCTTTTTTTTTCTTTCACGATCTGAGATTTAGCTTTTTGACCAAAGGCTTTGTCAGTTAATTTGTCAGCCTGCTGATATATGTATGCAGGACTTGTGTTGTATATAACCCTGAACAATTAGCTTGTTTCTATATAAACAACTCTTGTGGTTGCGAGCATAATTCTCAGTCCTACAAGAGGCAAATGTGTTCTGCTTTTGCTTTGGTTGTTAGTTTTGCTGTAGGCGATGAGCAAGTATCATTTACCTTGTGGAAAGATAAATTTGAGATCATTTCTGGAAGCTTTCAGTGAGATGTCTTGGAGTGTATTTTTCGGGTTAGTAGATTTGTATGTGTGATTAGAACAGTCAGAAAAGAAGAAGATGATTGTAATTTAGGCAAGTTTATTACTGTAAATCTCCTCATATCTCTCTTCCTTAATGCCTCAAGAGATCCTGACTGTAGAGGTAGTATAAAAAAAATGGGCGGGGGGGAGGATATAGTTGCCAGTATCATCGTTATCCAGTCTAAAATAAATAAAATAAGTAAATGTTTTGTAACTCCATCAAGAAGGTCAAACATCATAAATTGCAGTACTGAATCTGAAGTTCCCTCTGAGCCTGCTTTGTTTCAGCACGTTTTTCTAAAGATGAGAAAAAATTTTCTGCCTTCATTCCAGGAAAAAGAAGCTCAGGAAAAGGCAACTCCTCAGATCATGAAGGATGCTGGAATGAAGAAAGTTGGGCTTTTTCCCAAAGTGGGACAAGTGGGAACAAAAAACTGAAAAGGCCTAAGCCAAAGGAAGAGTTTGTTTTCGGGTAAGTTACAGCTTAACACTGTTCAAAATTTTAGTTAAGTCAGCCTGGTAACTTAAGAGTGAATCCTCCCCATTGCAGCTAGTGAACTCCATCCAACACCCAAATAATCACAATTGGACAGAATTTCTGAAAATTACAAACCCCACTGGACTAAGTCATGCTGTAGATACCTGTTGTTTATATACCAAGGTTAATTCCTTTGAGATCTTCCCTGGTTTACACTACTGTAAACAGATTTGAATGACATTTGCTCACTTTAAAAAGAAATGCACAATATTTACCCTCTCAAGAGATGATGAAGAGGGTTGCTTACATTTTCAGAGCACTTTGTAAGCAATATTTAAAGTTCTCTCTAGGTGTTCAAGCATCATAAAAACATTTAGACTAGAAAGAATAGATCTCTTTGACTGCTTGGAGAGATTGCTTACAGAGGAAGAGTAAACAGTGTTCTAATATTGGCAAATAATTATGATAAATATATCAGTTTTCCATTGTAGAGACAAGATATTTAAACTGTTCATATACACTGTGAAGAAACTAAATATATCAGAAGAATAATTAATGATTACAAATGCGTTAAAATTTAGCAAGGCCACACAGAATTACTTGTCTAGTATATGAATAACAATTCTTGTCAGAGTATTACAGATTTATTTAACTGCAGGCATAGTTGTTAAATCTGTTTAGCCATTCATACGTATTTGCAAATTCCTGAAGACTTCCAATTATCAGAATTCAGAGTGTGAAAATGAATTAAAAAGGAATAGATTTTCCACACTTCATGCTTAAAATTCTAATGTGTTTCTTTTGTGCAGGCTTGCGATAGCCTTTTTTATAACTTATTCTGTGTGAAATTTAGCTGCAGCTCACCTTACAGCAGATATATTAAATTGATGAAAATCTCCAAGTCTTGTTTGCTTGGAATAGTCAAGAAAAATTAATGGAATGCTTCTTGTATTTTCAGTGCAATGTATATAAGTTTTGTAAATATTTTTAAATTTAATTTGAAAGACTGAAAATTTTTCACACTTAATTGTATGAAAACTGAATGTATCTCATAGCCAAAAAAAAAGTAATTATGAATTATTTATTCAAAATAGCCAGGAAAAATGTGTAAATCCTTAATTCATTCAACAAATACTGTTCTACCATCACTATCTTGATGGATTGGGAAAATACCTATGTGCCAGTGTTGCTTCTTGATTCAGTTGTGTCATTACTCACAAGGTTTAACGAGGCCAAGTGCATGGTCCTGCACCTGGGTTTGGGCAACCCCCAGTATCAACTCAGACTGGGGATGAAGGGATTCAGAGCAGCTTTCAGGAGAAGGTCTTGGGGGTGTTGATTGATAAGAAGCTGGATGTGAACTGGCAATGTGTGTTTGCAGCCCAGAAAGCCAGCTGAGTCCTGGGCGACATCAAAGGAAGTGTGGCAGCAGGTCGAGGGAGGTGATTCTCCCCCTCTACTCTGCTCTCTTGAGACCCCACCTGGAGTACTGTGTTCAGATGTGGAGTCTTCAGCGCAGGAAGGACATGGATGTGTCGGAGTGAGTCCAGAGGAGGGCCATGAAGATGATCAGTGGGCTGGAGCACCTCCCGTACCAGGACAGGCTGAGAGAGTTGTTGTGTCATTACTCACAAGGTTTAACGAGGCCAAGTGCATGGTCCTGCACCTGGGTTTGGGCAACCCCCAGTATCAACTCAGACTGGGGATGAAGGGATTCAGAGCAGCTTTCAGGAGAAGGTCTTGGGGGTGTTGATTGATAAGAAGCTGGATGTGAACTGGCAATGTGTGTTTGCAGCCCAGAAAGCCAGCTGAGTCCTGGGCGACATCAAAGGAAGTGTGGCAGCAGGTCGAGGGAGGTGATTCTCCCCCTCTACTCTGCTCTCTTGAGACCCCACCTGGAGTACTGTGTTCAGATGTGGAGTCTTCAGCGCAGGAAGGACATGGATGTGTTGGAGTGAGTCCAGAGGAGGGCCATGAAGATGATCAGTGGGCTGGAGCACCTCCCATACCAGGACAGGCTGAGAGAGTTGGGAGCCTGGAGAAGAGAAGGCTCCAGAGAGACTTAATAGCAGCCTTCCAGTACTTCAAGGGGACCTACAGGAGAGATGGGGAGGGACTCTGTATAATGGACTGTAGCTATAGGACGAGGGGTAATGGTTTTAAGCTGCAAGAGGGCAGATTTAGACTAGATATAAGGAAGAAACTCTTTACTGTGAGGGTGGTGAGACACTGTAACAGGCTGCCTAGAGAAGCTGTGGATGCCCCATCATCCCTGGAGGTGTTCAAGGCCAGGTTGGACAGGGCTCTGAGCAACCTGATTGAGTTGAAGGTGTCCCTGCTTATTTTAGGGGGGTTGGACTTAGATGACCTTTAAAGGTCCCTTCCAACCCAAACTGTTCTATGATTCTGTGATTAATGAATATTATCCAGTGAACTCTGTAAAGGCAGAATTGGTAATGTGTGGAGCGTAAGTGCTGGAGAAGGTATCCATTAACACTGTTCATTGAACTACCTGATATTCTGGCTACTTGAAGAGCTGGTGTTACTTCTGACTGTTTCTCCTGACTCTGCTCCCTTCTGCATCACCTTTCAGCCTAATTTTCTGTGTGTGTAGGAAGGAGGATGCTAACCGCTTTGGAATTACGTCTTTCTTCCTGTGGCCTCTTACCTTCTCCATCAGTAGTTTCCCATGCTTCCCTGATGGTCCCTGTCAGGTGTGATTTGTCCACATGCAGCCCAGCCCACTCTTTTGCCAAGCAGTGTCCTGCCTACATGTATCTCCTGGCAGGACTAGGCTATATGGCATGAAGACCTCAGCTCAGCCACACGTGTTTGTTTAACCAGGCTTGTGAGATGCTCTGAAAATTCATGACAATGTGAATGCCTTTTTTTTTTTTTTTTTTTTTTTAAATAATTAATCGCTGACATAGTGATAGCTGAACTCCCCACTGCTTCCATGTCACAGAAGCTATAAATTACTGGCCAGGATGGCAGCTCATCTGCTCTCAGGGTTGGGTCTTCCTAATTAGAACTGCAGCCCCTCATATGCCCTTGGGGCAGGAGACAAGGCAGGTGGCAGCAGGCAGTGGGAGAGGAGCTGCGGCAAAGGATGGAACTGCATGACAGCTGTCAAAGCAGAAAATGAGCTTGGCTTGTGGTTGTTGGGGAACATCGTGTGAAAGAGAAAAGGTAGGAGTACCGAGCACCACTAATGTCAGATATCTTTGAGATTTAAAAAGAAAAGAAAGCATGTGCGTGCACACAGACACACAAACAACAACAAAAACCTAAACACCCCTCCCTCCCTGCACACAGTCTGCCAGTGCTGTATTTTAAGAAGGGAGATTGCTTATCAACGGAAGTAACAATTACAGAGGTAAAATGAAGTATCATTCTGTGTACCAGAGCTTTCAGAATGCAATTTATATGAAGTGGTGCTTCAGAGAGCAGAGAGAAATGCCACATTTCTTGTGACGCTTCCAAGTGTACAGGGTGTAAGGGCCATCCCTCCAACAGTCATGCCATCTTTTGTCAAGTTGAGATTTTCCATAGCAAACAGAATTAAAGACAAGTAGAAAATGTCATTGTACCCCTGTCATTGACGGTGCTATTTATAATCTGCCTCACTAAGCACGCTGCCTTTTATTAAGATACAGTTCCTTCCTATGCTCCTGCCTGGCTGCAAAGCTTGCTGAAAGAGAGTGCTTATGCAAGCCAGCATAGTCATTACAGCCACAAATGCCATGCCATACCATCCTGTTTGAGTGGTTTGTTTTCATCTGTCTATTAGGAAGAGAAATACCATGTCTGTGGATTTCATGAGTGGTAGGTAATCTAGTTAAAGTCATTCAAGTTGGGCTGAAGCATGAGGGATGTTGGGTGTCATGAAAGCATGAGCTGGTTGCATTTTCCATCTAGCAACAAATAAAATATGAGGGAAGAAAATATAATCCCCCAGAACAAATACAAAGCTAATTCCTACCCTAAAGCATCAGGTTTTAGAATATTCCTGGAAGACTTGAGTAGTTTAACATTTTGCTTCTGGTTTGAATTGTTGGTTTTTTTCATTCTGGTGTAACGACTTTTATGTGAAGTTATTTTATTGGTTTGAAGTTATTTTTTTGGTTTCATTGTCTTTTTTTAGTTCCCCTCACAGAACAGACAAATCTCGTGTAAGAATTGTGCGGCAGAGCTAAATGTTGCCAGTATGACATTGATTTGGTTTTTTTTCTAATTTTAATATATGCAACTAATGTAATCAATTTGTAGTGAGTTAGAAATGCAGAAGCTGGAGTGTACATTTTCATCCCAAAGTTGGATTAATATATGTATTAGTTTGATGTTTACAGTGTGTGTATGTGCTTCTCTCTTCCCCCTCTTTCTATGTAGATAGGTTTGTATATATGCACACATGCTCCTAAACAATATTTTTTTTCTCCAAGAATGGAGCTATATTTAATTTGATTGGTTTTGTTTTCCCTTTAGCTTAGCAAAGTTGGAAGAAGAATTTGAAAAGAAATTCAACAGCCTCCCTCAATACAGTCCTATTACCTTTGACAGGAAAAATTCAGCTGTTCCAAGGAAAAAGAGAAAGGTTGGAAGCGGCTCATCTGAACAACCAAAATCCAACAAAGGTAAATTACCATGTGCAGTACATTCTTAAGCAACAACAATGCTACGACAAGCTCAGGAATTTATACGTTCTTACTTTACATGTGAAAAGTGTGAAGTCAAAGAAAATATTATTCTAGCACTGAAGTTAGTTGGTTCTCACCTGGGTTAGTTTTCGGGCTATACTCTTGATTCCTGATTTTCATGCTGAGTAGAACTGGTTAGAGTTTGTCCATGAAATATATTCCTCATAGTAAGCAAATTTATAAAAACCATGAATATTTGTGAGGTGAATTAATTTGTTTTCCCAGGAGAAAATGGGGAAAAAAGGGCAGATGATCTAAAAAGTTACATTTTGACATTTTTCATAACGTAGTTTTATGCCAGTTTGCATTTCACTGTGATTTTGGGCTCTATAAATTAAAACATAAGATACCAGAGATGCCTAAATGAAACATTTTGATTTTTTTTTTTAATCAAGATTTTATCTATCGTAAGTTTGGAGCAAAAATAATAAAAAAAAGTTAGAGGACAGGAAAACCAATTTCATACCCAGCTCCTTTCCTGTGGCTCTTGGAGGGAGAAACGACACATTTGGCTGTTTTATATACAGACAACTTGTGACACAGGAGTGGTAGAGAAGTGAGAATATGGTAGGGAAAACTACTTTTAGACTGTGTCAGAAATACTGATGCATACATACAGTACAGAAGCATCACCAAATGAAGGAATGACCTACAAGACAAAAGGATGCTCAAAAGAACCCTCATTACGCACGGTTCACAATGTGAAGCTACTATGGTAGTTCCACTGACTGACAGGTTTTCAGATCTAATATGGCTATTTTAGCCTGGATTAGATCTATGCCTTTTGAATGCTTCACAAATAATCACATTACAGTATGCAGGATTGAGCAGCTGTTCTTTTCTAGTGCATGCCAATTTTGGTATTGATTTTTGTATTTACATAATTAGATGTGGAACAGTCACTTTTGCAAAATTAGACTTGTGCTAATACCAAGTGAGTTCCGACTTCAAATTCCTTTCGTTTTTTTATGGTATGTATTTGACGGAACTTCTTCAATGAGCATGAATGTATTACTTTACAATTATGATAATACAGTGGTTAACTAAGCAACATCTGTTGGGAACAAGATCTCTTTATCTACCTTGATCTGGCAGTTGAAGTTGTAACAGTAGCTCATGGGATTTCTTGGTACAGTATTTACCTGTTCAAGTGTCTGTACGTCTAAAAATTTTGCAAGCTCCATGTTGTTTGGGAATGACACAGTAGAATGCTACCTCAAGTCAGGTAGCCCAGAGCTGCATGCTGCTTTTGTCTAGGTTCATATGTGAGATCTTAATTTTTATCCTTGTTTGCATTGCTTAAAAAGCTTTGCACTGTATTTGACCATGTCTCAAGGGGAGGTCAGAAACATAGCTGCGGGCAGGTTACAAGCCTGATATAAGGAGTTTTGGCACAGCCCTGTGGAGGAACCCATGCAGCGTTGCATCTAGCTGACAATAAGGGCTCTTTAAGCCAGCTGACTTTGTACTGCAGCAGATGGTAAACAGTCACGTGAACTTTTCCACCAACTGAGCTGTAGGGTTGCAACAAGCAGCCCCAGGGCAGGAATATCTGATAGTGACACTGCTGTTTCTGTAGTGAACATATAACCGCAGCCCTGAACTAAATCTGGATAGAGCTAGTGATATCTGTTCCCAATTTCAACGAATGTTAAATTCATTCAAGTTAGCTGGGCAAGTATTCAGCTTGTGTCAGTCATTCCAGCTCCCTGGAGAGTAGGGTTCAGCTGTAGAGAGTTAGCTGAAAAACTTTCTGACAAACCATTTTTGTTTTTGAAAATAAAGATTGCTAAAAAGTAAATATTTCATGGCAGTGGGTTGATTTTAATTTTTTTTATTTTGTTAGAATGCTTAAAATTAGGAGGAGAGTTGTGGGTTTGAAATGACCTGAACCAAAGTGCATAGAAGCTAGCTTACTAGCTTAGTAGGAAAACTGTTCCCGCTGAGTCAAACATTCATTAAGCTGAATCCTCAATTTAGTTTGTGGTGTACTGACAGGACATTCAGCCTTGTGGTGCTGTTGGCTTGCCTGTGAACTGTGCTGAGTCCAAAGATGTTTAGAGAATACTGACCTCTAAAGGTGTTAAGCATACAGGTCTGCATGCTGGGCTCCTGCAAATATTGCAGGAAATGGAAATGGCATATTATGCAAAATGATAGACCTTAGTTTGGAATGGCTCTGGGTTTTTTGAATGATCGTGGTTTTTTACACCACCAGAATTAAACAAAAGGAACATCTTATTCTTGCAATGTGATGAGCATGAACCATGAAGGGTCAGTATAGCCTTATGGGTGGGACTGTGTTGGAATGTAGGAGACCTTAACTTTGCTCTGCTGTGCCCTGCATTCCTGTGTCATGTGGAATTGTTTCTGCTGCTTTGTTCTTCCTTGGGGTTGTCTCTGTAAGGTAATTAGAAGATATTTCCAGCACAAATGGTGCCTACTAGTGTTTTGGGGCCTCTGGATGTTTCCAAACAACAGATAATATTCATTAGGGGTAGGTTTTAGTAAATACTCATAAAAATCATTCCCTGCTTTTTCTCAATGGGCATGTGTGGAATCATAAACTTCCCAGGCATTCTTGGTCCTCAGATAAGTGCTTAATTTTTGTGGTCTGCAGATCAGTGCCTGCTAAATTACATTTAAACCTTGGAAAACAGGTTGGAGTGTTGCCCACTAAAGATTCCCCAGGATGTTAGGTGAATAAAAATTGAGACATGTTTTGTTTGTTGGTTTTGGGTTGGTTTCCTGCCCCCCACCCCCACAGTAACTAGGGCCATATGCCTTCATATGTTTTATTCAGAGTAAATGGTGCCAGATTGATTTTCTGTCAAATATCATTAACCTGTACCTACAAGAGGCCTGATCTGCTACCTAACCCAGACAGCCAGGGTTGTCAGGATGTTTTCCTACTCCCAAGTGGAAAATCAGTGGGTTGGTGCCCACTGACTCTTTCCATTGTGCTTATCATGTCCAGTCCTCACTTCAGACAGGTTTTTTTTTTTTTTATATAAAACCACCTGAAGAACCCTGTAACATGAATGCTATTTCAGATCCATGTGTATAAGGGAAAATTTGGACTTTCTTAAATGAGAGGCAATTTTTTCGTCAGAGCTTTCCGAATTGTCCAGATTCTGCTTCCATGGAAATTAATGGGAGCCTTTTTTCAGTGGGAGCAGAACTGAACAAGCCATAATGCTTTGGTGAATTCTACCTCAAGCATTTTGAACTGGGAGTGTGCATATACAACAATAATGTCACAAAATGGCTGAAAAATACAGCTACACTGAATCTGTGCAGATGGCCTGCTCCGACATTTGCTGGAGCTGTGACTGATTTCTTCTTTTTTTTCTTCTTTACAATGGCATATGTTCCAAAACATCCCACCACACAGAAGTCAGCAGTCTGCAGTGAGTCACTAATCCACTTGTATGCAAAAATGAGCAACAGGCATAGTCATTATTTCTGCCTTGTGCTGTGAAGAAATGCTCACTTGTATACTAAGCACTTCACTAAAGCTTTCATTCTGGGAAGGCAAGGAAAGGAATGCATCGTGGGCTTTTTTTTTTGGGAAAGGGGTTGTCTACAGTTTGGTGGGTTTTTTTGTCTGTGATCACTAAGGCTAGAAATAAAGCATCAGCTTAAAACTGATGCTTCTTTGTGACATTCCTCTCGGTCTTAGCTTGGGGGTTTTTTTTGGCTCAGTTCAAAGTGTTCAGATGCCTGGAGATCGCATGTTGTAATGTTCTAAAGATCATGACCTAAAAATACAGCATTTTCCTCTGGAGAAATGCAGAAATGCACAGACAAATCTGTTTGTCCTGGTTGTCTTTTGATCATGTTGAAGTGTTCTCTATTTGATCAAGACCTTTAAAATAGGGAATTTTGTGAGAGCAGAGGGTGCATAAGGCCAGAAGTGTGAGGGAAACACAGTTATGGTTCGTTGTGTATGGTGGGTTCCCTTTCTTGCCTGCTGCTTCCGGGAGCAGCTGCCGTTGGCTGCAGGGAGTATTCCCAGGAGAAAATCCCTACAGTCCTCAGTGAGTGAGCACAGTGGACAAACTGGGAATTAGCAGGTGGTTAAATCCTGTGGCAACTGCTGAAGTGCTAGGGAGAGGAAGAGCCATGTAGACTATTTCCAATAGAGAACAATGTGCAGAAGAAAAGTACTTACTTTTACACTTACAGGTGGCTGTATAACAATAGCAAGTAAACTAACATTAGAAGTTTTTTTCAGCCTTCTATGGCAAATCACAGCTAGGGTCCACTGCCTAAGCCTTCTAGGTTAGTTAGTTTTTTTGGTCATGGATTTTTGCTGGATTGAATGTTGACAAGTGGCGTTTGTTCAAAGTCTCTTGAGTACTTGCCTGCCTGCTGTCCCCATGAAACAGGTGTAACCCAGCCAGCCCTCCTGTCAGCTTCTGCATGGGTGAGCGTGCTTAAGCTGTGCCCCTGGGGCACCTGCTAGTGAGAGCCTGAACAGCAATATTAACTCTACCCCAGCTAAAACCAGCACATAATCTCAGGAATTTCCCTTTGTTCAGCCTTTTCTACATGCAGATGTACTCTCCAGTCCAGACTATATTTTGCCTTCTGCATATTGGTTTAGTTCAGTTAATTTCTGTTGAAATAAAAGCTCTGGTTTTCATACCTGAATATGCCATGCAAGGATCCTGCGTCCAGCAGTTCATTGGCTTAGGCCTTAATCTAAAGGCATCATGGGATGTGGCCATTTTTGAAGAACTACCAGATTGTCTAGTATGAATAGACTATTTGTATGTCTGTGTGAGTGATTGTAGTTTGGCTTTTCACAGAGGATGGTGAGCCTATCTTGTAGTTCACTCTAAGTAGTTCAGGCAGGGAGTGGGAATGAAGTTTTTCATGGAGTCAGAAGTTATATTCTCAGGTCCGAGTATGTCATGTTGACCTATCTAGCTATTAGCCCATCTTCTCTTTCACTGCATTCATGGCCAAAGGGTATTCAAGTGTCAATGGGCACTGTCTCACAGGCATAGCACCTAAAAGAGTAGAAAAATGGAAGTTTTCTTATGAAAAGGCAGCTTCTCTTTTGACCCCGCTGAAGTCAATGTCCGTGGATTTTCCATTTGGGAACAAAATATTATATGGAAGTGGCACGTGCCTTGGAGTACCCCTACATGTTGGAGATGCAACCTTATGACAAAGGTGCCTTGGATCACAGAAAAGAGATGAAAGACACTGCTTTCCTTCTTCATGCAGTGCTTGTCATCTTTTTGTGAGTTTTTCATCTCAGTTGTTCTGCTTAGAGTTGCTGGCACTGGCTGACAGCCTGTGATATTGATTGAAATGGTCTGTAGGGTGCAGGTTGAGCTGTAGAAGTGGAGACTTCTGTGATACTATGTAACGTGTTGCTTATTCCAAGCACCTGAAAAAACACACTAGTTTGCTAATTTAAAAATAAATACTAAAAATGTCATCAGAACCATCTAGTTACTTACCTCTGCCTCTTGTCTTTTTGTGGAACTGATGTGGGAAGACTTACCTCTGTTGATATGGATGAGGTGTTTTACCTTAATCTTCAGAAAAGCTGTTTTTTCAATTAGGCTTTCCTTCAACCTGCCTGAGCTCTTCCATTCCTTGTTTTGCATTTTTATTGCACTGACACTAGATGATTATCTAACTCTGTGATACTCAGGAAGCTATTCTGAAGTTGGCAGAGTAACACTTGAATCCATTTGAGTGAATATGGCTTCTTCTATTGAACTTTCTGATATTTCCTGTACAAGTTCTAGTGAAGCTATTCAGATGCAAGCTGATGTTCCCTAAGATGGTATCTTGCTTGGACTTTATTTGGTTTGGGTTTTGACTTCTAGATTTTTGAGAGATTATTAATATTTTCCCAAAGTTTTGATTTCTTCAATAGTAAAACAACAAGCAGCAGTGAGCCACAAAGCCAACATGTATGAAATCTTAGGGTTTCTGTGCCTGTTTCTGGATGGATTTTAGCTTTTTCTCAGTAATTTTCAATATTATTCAGACAAGCTGGTGTCTATGAATGGTTTTCCCCTTGTAGGACTAAATCTTTCTTCCATGTGCTACACACTTTTCTCCTTCTTTCACTGCATATAGAGAGTCAGTGATGGCAAATTGCAGATGCGTTATGTAGATTTACCTTGATCACATATTACTACATGGTTGCAGTTGTGTCTCAGTAAACAATGTGTGTGTCTGGTTTCTTTTAAGGATGCAGAGGCTGGTATTTGTGGTGGGTAGAATCCTGTTCCACATCCGCTGCGGATGGGAAGGACACCCTCTTGTTAGGCTACAAGCCATCTTGTCGCTTGGAGTGCATCTCATTGTTTGGGCAGGTGTCTTCTGATCTAACCTGAAGACTTGTTTCCCTGCTGTCTCTTTAGAAATAAGATTTTAAAGTGAAGTTTCTGAAAAGTAACTCCATAAAAATGGCTTTGCAGTGTAGAGATTATGCATCTGTTATATCTTTGGTCTGTTATGTTTTGTGTTGCTGCTGTATCACTGTTTACTCCATTAATGAGACAAAAGATGGCTTCTTGATGCCCTCTGCTAGTGGCACAGTTTGTGGTCTGATGACATATGTCTTCTGAGTACTACTAGCAAAGACTCTGCTATCAAAGTGGGAATGATACCATAAACTGGGCATAACCTCACCTTCCTCTCCTGGGAGCTTTTGCTTCTGCACTCTAGTCTAAACAAATTTCTGATCACCAAAAAGGTAGAGGTAACTTGCATCCCGTGGTGGGTTGGCCCTGGCTGGTAGGTAAATCCCCCTCATCCCCCCGCTGCTTGCTCACCCTCCCTGACTGGGTTGGGGGAGAGAATTGGAGGGCCAAAAACAAGAAAAAAACCTCATGGGCCAAGATAAAGATGGCTTAAGGCAGTGGTGGGGAGAATACAAGTGATGGAAAAGCCAGCACTCACCACCATCAAACTGATGGCGAGCCAGTCCCTGAGCAATTACTATCTTGGAAAAAACTTCCCCCCCAGTGTTACTGCTGAGCATGATGTTATGTGGTATTAAATACCTCTTGGTCATTGTGGGTCCGCTGTACCAACTATGTCTCCTTCCAACCTCTTGCACATCCTAAGCCTACTTGCTGGGGTGGCAGAGTGAGAAAGAGAGATCTTGATGCTCTGTAAACACTGTTCAGCAGTAACTAAAAGATCGGTGTGTTACCAACATTGTTTTGGTCTAACAGCACCATCTAGGATGCTATGAGGAAAGTTTACTGCATTCCAGCCAAACCCAATACATATCCAAAAGAGAGCATATCTTTAAAAAAAAACAAGCAAAACCCTCGTTTTATTGCATGACTAAGCTTTCCTGAGGTCATAGTTCTCTAAGATGCTTTGTATACACTTAAGCATTGGGAGCTGGTGGGTTGAAGTACAGCCTGCTGCAAGCCTCTGGAGCCCATTCTAGGGAGAAGGTCAGGCTTTGTGCTTCTCCATTAAATGACATCCTGTATCGGTGGAAGGGGAGGTTGTATAGTACATACTGTTACTGTTGTACTCTTTTTAAAACTGCTAATTAAAAGTATGTATTATTAATGTTGTCTGTAGGTTCATTCCAGTCTCAGAAAAAGAACTTTTTCCACAAAATTGTCAGCAAAGTTAAGCAGAGAAGGAAGCTTAATGTTCCGGACACAGGTACTGGTGCATTACTTAGTTAAGGTTTTGGACCGCCTTCTCTCTCAATTCAGTCTGGGGGAAATGCTTCTAGACAGAGACTACGTAGCTCTGTAGTCTTTGATTGCTTTGGTCCCTTATTTCCCTGTCTCCTTTGGTTCTATTAGCTCCTGGCTCCAGTTGATCATATTACCTTACTTCAGTATGGTGCTCTTTTGTTTTCAGCTGGCATCTCCCTTAATATGTTTCCCTGCTCCAGATGCCATGCAGCAGAGCTGACAAAGCAAGGGCAGTTCTACAGTTGGCAGTGAACCCTTTATCTTCCATGGGTCATAACTCTTTATTCCTTTCGTTGCTCTTATTTCTATCCCACCAGAGACCATATTATTTATCCCTTTGCCAAAACATTCATCCATGTCCCTATCCCCTCTCCCTGTGGTTGCCCTCTGTCTATAACTCTGGCAGCTGGTCAGGATGTTGCCTACACTATCCAAATCATGCCCAGGCTGTTCCTTAGCCCTTCCACAGTGGAGTTCTCCACCACATCATTCCTATGGTGTAGAAGAGCTTCTCTGGTTCTTCTTACTTAAGTAGCTCCATTAATTTATTCCATTTTTTTCCCCATCCGTATCTGTCTCTTTTTATGGTAATAAAATGATTATCCCTGCCTCCAGTTCCCCCAGCTACCTTTATGCTTAATTGGTTTGGCTGTATCATTTCTTCTCCTTTTGTGATGCTGTGTTTTCTGTCCACTGTGGTGCACATGGGCTATTTTCCCACATAGGCTCTGCCAGCTCTGCTGCATTCAGGAGTGCAAATATTTTGAAATTACTTGCTCTGTTATGTTGCATTAGTACAACAAACATGTTATGGGAGGTGCTTATGAGAAGTAATTGTCTTGCTTCCATGCTGATGTGAAAAAGGCATCATACATTAACATAGCTTTTATTGGGTGCCATTCAGATTTTTGGCCCTGAATTATTAATAGACCATGTAGACAAATTAATAAGAAAAATGGGTGTTTAAATTCTCCTGTGGGAAAAGAAACAGAAGGCATTTAATACATGATAGAGTAAAAAAAATAAATATCTTAAAATCTACAGTTCTAAAATGTGGCTAAACAAAACGTCAAAACCTCAATTTGGTTAAAAGAAACAAGCCTGTTATGATACAAAGTGAAGTGTGCACTATGATCAAAGATTCAAGCTTGGCAAGTATTGAGTACCCTGGCCTCGTTCCAGCACAACACAGAGGGTTGTCTTTGGAAGTTAAGCATGTGAATAATGTAATTGTGTCTAAACATTAAAGATATGTCTGTGCATTTGCTGAAGTAGGGCCGGTTTGATAAGTTCCTCCCAAGACTGAAGCAAAGACAGGAGGAACTTACCAGTCTAACACAGCCCACATAGAAATCATCAAAGGAAAGACAGTGATGTTTTTATATATACATATATATATATATATGCGGGGAACTGCATTTTCTTTGAGTTACAAAGGAGAAAAAATGTGGGGTCTTGCCTGCTCTTAAGTGTACCACATAGTAACCCTGAAAGCAAAACATTGATCAGAAAAGTGCAGCGTGGGTATGGCCTTGGCATGAAGCATGCAGCCTCGCCATCATGTGCTGCCTATGTAACTTCATCCTTTCATCAGTTCCGAGGCAGCATGGCCCTAAACTCTTTGACACCACTGTCCCATGCTCTGCAGCATTCAAGCTGAAAATCACAGCATCTTCATTTCAGTTCAAATATACAAAGTTCTCATGAACCAAACACTAAATGAAAATTTCTGCTCCTTTTTGTGGTTAGTCAGTCTATACTTGTGGTGAGTCACAAGTCTATATGTGTGGGTTTGGTTTTTATGGAGTTAATTTTGCTGGAGGAAGGAACTTCAATCTGATAGCTGGAGAGGAGACCTCTGACAGCAGAGGTCATGCTGGATTCATGTTTCGTCATCTTGAAAAGTATGTGTGTCTGTGTTCTGAATGAAGAAAAGTACCGTAAAGGCAAATTTTGATGTGATTGGATCGTCTTGACTGGGTCTGGCTCTGGTTTGAGTATCTGAGTGGATTTTGACTCTGTGTGACCACATTGTGCACAGCATCACAAATACAAATCACCATATTACGAGTTTGCAAGTGTCTACAGAGATACAGCCCAGTAAGATACCAATGGACATGCCACAACCCCTGCTCCTCCTAGCAGAGAACACACAGTAGTGCTACTGAATATGTTCAGAGCTGTATCACTTCCTAAGGAAGGCTGACAGAAGCACAGCTGGACCCATCCCTGGGGGGTTTGAACACCACTCACCTGAGAGATTTTTCTTCCACAGTGAAAGCTTTCGGTTAGGAAGCAATACTTTAAATAACAAGGAGTAGGTCACAACAGTTGACTCCTTGCAGGTACATTTTAGTAAGCTGTGCTGAGGGCTCTTGCATGGTTTGTGTAGCAACCAGATACAGTATTGGCCTTTGGACCAGATGGACACACACACCAGTCTCAACACTAGCAGATATGTGAAGGTGCCCGAGTCTCCTGTGGCTGGTAGAGCTAACTGCATGCTACTGATCACCCACCAGCTCTCTCACACACACATCAGTCTGTACAGCCTTAGCACGTATGCTTAAGCAAGAACAGAAAGTGCAGAAAATTAGCAAAATTACTCCTGCTGAGAAAGCCCTGTTGTGTGGGGTCTGCAGCCCAGAGGGAGCCAGCAGCTCTGTGCCACTGTGCCTTTGGCATCCATCCGGGCTCGAAGAGGGCTGGATCAGTGTAAGCTTATGCAGCAGATTGTCCCATCCAGGCAGCTGTTCCATACACCTGGCTTGACCATCTGCTGCCTTGTCAGCTGGTATCTCTCTGCTTGTTAGTCTACAGCACTTGCTGTTGCTCTGTGTACTGCCTGACCCCATGAGCAGTATTGCAGCAGCACTCCATTGTCAGAAGAGCTGGAATTCCCACCAGGGTGTAGGGCAGAGTGTGCTTCCTTGGTAAAGTGGTTCCCTAGGCACTGATGAAGAGAGTGCTACTTGAAGCTTTGCTCTGCCTGGCTAGGCTTCCCCTTTTTAACGTAATAAAGACCATTAAGCAGTTACAGCCCACTTTTCATTCTTGATGCCAGCATGCTTGGACCTACAGAGCATTCATTCTTCACTAGATGTGGTTAAACTCCTGCAGCTCTCTCTGGTAACAGGCATTACTGCAGAAATTTTTAAATGTCTCATGTCTTGCCGAGGTTCACTCTGAAATGCTTGTCCTCTTCTGTGGTGTGCAGAGTCAGTTCAATTGACTTTATTTTTCTTGTCCACAAAGGCAAATGATAACTGTTCAGTCTTGGGTGAGACCAGTTCAACATGAAACTGCCTCTCTGATTTGAGTACATTTCCCAAAGGGAATTCTATCTTACCTTATCCTCGTTCAACATGGGATAAAGATGCAATGTAATGCGCGTTACTGCTCTTCCTGAGAGTACCTTGACTGGCTCTGCTTTAATTGTATACATTACACTACAGCCTTAAAATCAGGGTTAGTAAGAATGTTCAAATCTCTAGACATAAGCTTTCCACAAATACTAATATAAATGAGCAATATCAGGGTAGTGAGTCAGGTCTTTTAAATCCTTACTTTCTCTCTTCGTTTGGTTGGGTTATTTTTTTTCCCCTTTTAATCTGTTTAAGACTTGAGTTACAGCTCAGCCAGTTTCTCATCTGCTGTATTAGACTTGTGTTCTGCCACATGGCATCTTGCGCTCTGCGCTTGGTTCCTTCTTGCATTGTAGGTGCGGGGAAAATAAGACTACAAGCGCTCTGCAGGCCTGCAGAGTAGTGTAAACTGTCCTTGCTAACTTTTAACAAATCTATCTCAGGAAACCATCTGGTGCAGAGCTCTAGATGTTTTTCTCTCAAAGTCATTTTTGTGACGGTGGTGTAAGCATGCCAAAAGGCCTGCATCTTCATATCATGTGCTCAGCTCTGCTTGCAAAAATAGCCCTCTGGTTCTGCATGTGCTACTGTCATGTGAAAAGCTAACTGTGCAAAAATCTTTTTGCAGGACTGCACAGTAGCTGCAGAACCTCATTTCTAGTCAGCTTTCTCCTGAAAATCACCTGAGCTTTACATGGGACAGCTCTTGAACATAGGAGAGTGTGGAAAAAGAGGGATATGGAATGGATTAAAGAAATTATGAAAGACAAGTACAGGCCATTAAACTTGTTTAGCCCTGTCCTTTCTGCACAGCAAAACCAAGTCCTGGTTTGGAGCATCCATGTGGATATACCTTTGTCAGTGGAAGCAATGGGGTGCTGTTCCTGTTGAAGGAGGTGCAGGATGAAGACCCCTGTTAGCACCTACGTGAGCTAGACAATTACTGAAGCGTGAACTCCTTTCTCCTCTGGAGTTCAGTGCAAGGAGTCCTGTGGGTGAAGCCTTTGTATGGTCTCCTCCAAGTTAGGTTTTATGCCTACTTGAATCATAATCCATAACGAAGTCAGTAAAATGATTTCTCATCCCAGTGTTCACTAAGGCTTCTATAGAAGAAAGAAGCAGCTCTTCCTTCAACACCCACCCTCCACCCGCATACACACATAAAAAAAATACTCATTCACTGTTCACCCTTAATCCCGTCTTCTTCAAAGCTGTATGGCAGCAATGTTATGATGAAGTGATAAAGAGCTTACTTTTAAGCTAGAGGAGGAAAAAAACCATGGAGGACTCTCAAGTCTCATTTCAACGATTGTGAAACCTTAAAACATGGAGAGGGAATTTGCTTGCTGCATCCTGAGTTTGTCAGCCACCTTCTGCTATTTTTTAGTCAAACTTGCCAATATGGTGTACTCCTGCAACTATAATTTGTTGAATGTTCTCTTAGTTTTATGTCTTTAATAACTATTGCCTCTTCTTTATTTTTACCTTTCAAGATCTTTTTCTTACCTTTAATTTCTTGAGCTTTTTCATGCATACAATATGAGAAAGAAAACATATAAAAGGGAGCTGTCTACTGTATTGATCAATCAAGTCAATTTCCAGAGACCTGACATGGCCTGTATTATACAAAACATCTAATTAAAAACATGCCAAATGGGGTTTCTCCCTATCATATGTTGCTTATTGTTTGAACTTAATATTTTTGTTAAATATAAAAAAATAAAAAGTGACTTGTATTACTAAGATTAAAGCCATTATAAACTCAAACAAACTAGAATTAAACATCAGTGTCAAAGTACTATCTAATTAGAGCAAATCCCCAAATCTGACTGAACAAATAGTGTTGGACTACAACCAAACTATTACAATAATACATAATCAACACTTATGAATTCCCAAATAAGAAATCTAGAGAGAAAGCTGCCCCTTTAATTATACATTCCAGTTAAGACTTTGGTCTCGGTCAGTGCCGTCAGCTTATCTGAACATCTCACTATTAGCCCAGTTGAGTTACTTGAAATTCAGATTTGCAGTCATTACTGGTTCTATTTAATTGGACTGTTACAGGCAGATTTTTTTTGTGATTTCTCTTGCTCTCTTTACAAAAATAATTTTTACAGCATAGCTCTGCTCTGGAAAGCTTAGCAGCTATAGCTAAACATTGAGAAAAGCTGCTTGGACCTGTGTACTTTTTTTGACAATAAAGAACATGCACAAGTTCAAAAATGTTTTATGGGAGAAGATACGAAGGTGAATTAAGAAAATAAATCAATTAAGGTTTGGAACATTTCCGAATGTTTTTATTCATATGTGCTAGATCTGATTGTATTCTTATGTCATAAAACATTGAAAGGTCCCTTCCCACTTCAAGCAAAAGAGCAAAGGGCAAGAGCTAACAAGATAAAATGTGTTAACAGCTATTCTCTTCACCCAGTTCACATCCTCACACAATTAACAGTTAAAGAAACAAAAGATAGAGGTTATATTAGCCATATCTTTCAATAGGAAGTTCATTAAATCAACACAACAAACAATAAATAAACAGCAAATACACACTAAAATGAAAGAGGGTGAAGTCCACACAGACTGTTGTGCATAGTTTGTGGGGTTGTATGCCCCTATGTGACACAACCAGTTGCAGTGGAGGAGGTTGGTCTGTTCAGTGCTTAGCCCTTCTTAAAGAGCAGTTGTTTGCACGCCGGCTTGAGTTTTGTGTGTCTAATTTTTGCTGGTCCTGCCACCCAGAAAGTGAACAAGTGGGTCTTAAACATACTTCTACTGTTACTACTTGTAGACTTAGTAACAGCTGTGACTTATATAAAAGGACTGTTGCAAAGAGATGGGGTATAACCTGGCAAGTAGAAAAAAAAAAAACAAAACGAGTTGGGAACGCAGCAGGGGAGATGAGGTGCAAGCATTCTGAAAAAATACGTAATCATTCAGGATGGCAGTGCACTGGTGAAAAATACCCCGAGGACTTGGTGTAGATGCCATGAGTGCTCCCAATTTCAAAACAGGTTAGACAGACATCTGTAAGAATTTACTTGGGTGTTCCCTTTGCTACCCATAGTCTCTTTCTAACTCTAGTTTACAGTGATTGCAGATAGGGTAGGCCTCATAATACTTACATCACAGGAAGAAAAAAGATGTCAGAGATGTAATTTATGGACTAGTGATACGCTATGGTATCAGCAGTATGGCTTATTAAATCAATGGAAATTACAAATGATTGACAACTACATACTGATCGCAGACTTCAGAAGCTTAAAGGCAGTTTCTGATTGCTGTCTAGTCAGTTTCTTCCTGAACAAGATTAAAGTGACTGTTCAGTCAGGTGAAAATCTTTGATCATGTTCCAGTTCAGGTCAGAAGTCTACTTCGAAATGCCAACACTGGTACTGTTGAGAAAGATTCGAACTGTTCCTTTCTCACTCTCTGACTTTATGTAGGCAGTTTCTTTTTTTACCATTCTTGTCTTCAACTGTGATCCAGCTCTGCTTTTGTATTTGCTGCCTTTTGGGTGTTTTTTAAGGTTTTCTGTTTTGTAAAAGGCAGTGTTTCCCCCTGCTTAGAGAGGACGACATAGAGTGACTGTAGAGGGGAGATGGGGGATTAGTCAGGAATTCCTGAATTCTGCTTGTGAGTCCATATGTGAGCTAAGATAAGCTTGCATGAGGATCATTATTGTTCCTTAAATACATTTTATCTCTTAGCTACTTCTTGGAGTCTTCTGTTGCAGAGTGTTTTATACAGACTGTTTGATGCCCTGCTCCCACTGAAGTACTACTGCCCATCTCGAAGTTTTCTTTGCAAATATTAGAAACTGGAACCTTCTGGGATATCTTTAAGAACTGATGCTACTATTCCTGTGCAGACATCTGCAGCTTTGGATCGTATCTTGCCATGGGTTGAGCCCTGAGTACCTGTGAGGGAAGGCTTTATGCAGATAGATGCAAAATGGTGAATGAGCATAGCCAGTAGCTGAATGATTCTACGTGTAAAACTGCATTTTTATCCTTTCAGCCATACTCTCAGAAGACAGAAATTCCAGTGAGTCTGCCTGGAAGAATAAAATTTCTATATCTGCCCTAAATACTCCAGAGCCAGCAATGATGCATGAGCCTTTAGTTGGCAGCCAGAAAAGGAAAGCAAGGAAAACTAAGATCACACATCTTGTCCGAACAGCGGATGGTCGAGTGTCACCAGCAGGAGGGACACAGGGTAAGGAAACTAGAGTTTAAATTTTGTTCATACTGAATGGCCAGAGAAGTTTTGGGAGTACAAGCAACCTCTCGGGGAAGTATTTTTCAGTTAGCTTGGTTTCATACCTGCTTAGAAGGTCATTCTTTAAAATGCGGGTATCAATCAGTTAGGGGAATCAGTGAGTCCATAATGACAGACTTCTTTTGTTTGAAAGACCAAATCTGTTTTCTCTCCTTGGTTATTTCTCTCTAAGAACTGAGAGCTGATACAGAGAGAAATGGAAGACAGTTACCTTTTAGAATTTGTTTCCAGTCCAGCAAAGAAACTACACTGTACCTAGTTATAGGATGTAAAAATGAATTCCATAATGTGACAGTCAATGCCACAGTCCTTGTAGGAGTCCTCTGCAGTTAAGATAATCTTTCAGGACTTCTGTATCTGAAACATACACAAAAGCTCTCTTGCCTGACCTAAAGGATCAAACTGTTGAATGCAAAATCAACAAACTGCTTCATAAACCTTAGTACTGTGCTTCTGCCGATAGCTTGGGTCAGAAGAGCTTACGGCATGCATCAGATTACACTTGCAAAATCAAAGTCCTAGAGGTAAAGATGCTGTTAACACTAAAGTAGTCAGTGTATTGATGGGCTGCTGCGAATTTAAGGGCTAGATTTGCAAGCTTATCTTTCTTTTATTGCAGAGGAGAAACCAAAAGAGCTGCCACAAAGTACTCTTCAAAAAACATCAAGTGCAGAAACAGATTGCAACACTGAATGCTCTGGAAACACAGAGACAGAAGAAAATCATAGTATTACGTCAGATATGCCAGCGGTGTCTGCATTTTTTAGCTTAGCTGCTCTAGCAGAAGTAGCAGCCATGGAAAACGTACACAGGTATGGTTTTCTTTTCCACTTGTTGTCTCAGTGAATAGTATGTGGCTGCCAGCTTGTTCAGAAAGTGAGTTGCAGACTGTTTAATTTGGCCTGTGTTTCCTCTTCCACTGCTTTCTATGAATATCTGTTTTACACCACTTGCTTAGTTATGTTGTCTTCACCTAAATTATAGTGTAATCTATTTCAGTTCTCAGTAAAATGATCCTTGCCTGCCAGTTTTTGTATTTAAACAGGTTGATATGCTTCTTGAGATCCTGATGGTTGAGAGCTTGTAATCATCAGATGCTATTTGTCAGATAATAGCAGAGTTAAATAGCTGTTGCATGCTGATTGGCATTTTTCAGTGGCCTAAGTCTGTGGAGAGAAGGTCCATATAACTTCAGCTGAAGTTTTTATGCTGAACATTGCTGAAGGAACCTAACTTGTTATTTTTCGCTCTTGTGCTTTGCTGTGTAGGAGGCAAAGCGTCTGCAAAATGGCATGTGGCAGAACTACTCTGGGTGATGGAAAGCCATGTTAGTTTGGGTTGGTCCTCTCAGTTACTGAGTAGACTGTCCACACAGACAAGGTGGAGAATGTGCAGGTTACTTAGGGCTGTTGGATCAGTTCAGCGTGGTCAGATCCTGCATGCTAGACCTGTGCTGGGAGGACACCAATGACAAGTCCTCCTTGGCTCTTAATTATCTAATGTTGTTCTCTGATGCTGCAGCTTATTGGAGATGAAACCCCATCCTTTCCTGCAGTGGAAAGTCAGTGAGGAAATGCTGAGCCAGTCTGAAATCATCACAGCCACTGCAAATGGCGTTTGACAGATTGCTGGCTGCCTAAGAAACTCTACAAGGCAGCAGTTGATGAAACCTTTCACAACCTCAGTTTACTGTTGATCTCATGGGCCCCATTGGCCAACCCAGTCTTGTGTGTTCAGGCTGCGCATCAAACGTTGAAAGGCTTTTTAGAAGCTCAGGGGCCCTACAAGAAAAAAAGGTCATCTGAACCCAGCCTGCTAGCTCTTCTCTGCAGGAGCTATTGCCTTGCTTAAACAACGTTGTTTTTCACACTGCAGTCAGCCTGGCCTTTTCTCCCCCCTTTGCAAAACAAGTGTTTGCTGTCGAAACAGCAAAAGTCTGAACTAATTTCTGTCACCTACTGTGGTCAGAAGCATGAAGTAAGACTTGGAAGCTGCTGTTCTGAGCTCTGCTCTCACTCACACCCTTGTGGTTTCGTTTATTTCCATTAACACTGACCAGAATTGCACAGGAGCAACAGGATTTGCTTCACTGTGGTTTTTCCGGCTCTGTTGCTCTAAGAGTTCTTGTCATCCTTTTGTCCCTCTTGAAATGAGCTAATACTTTACATAGCCTTCTGTTTGGGTCTTTCTTTCTTCGCGCACCTTTTGTCATCTCACCATGCAGCTAGAGCAACGCAGAACCTTCCATGAGGCCTGAAAACTGAACTGGCAAATGTCCAGCAACTGTTGCAAATTCCATCTTGTAATCACCCCTGGGGGAAATGACAACAGGGGATGATTCTTTACCACTAGAAACTTAGACATGTGTCTCTCAGACTTGGCAAATGGAATTCAAAACAGAAACGTCAGTCTCATGGACTAGATGCTTCTTTCATTTCTGCTCTGTAGACTATTTATCTTTTGCAACTCACTTCTTTATTTACAAATAGTCAGAAATGAGAAGAACAGCATTAGAGGTTTACTTTATGTGTTTTGCAGTATCTGAATTTAATTATTAAATAGTTTTACAGAGCCTTGGGCCATGGAAGCCACACTCCTTTTTAACTGTAATTAGAGCTAGTCTGGAAGGGGCAGCTTGGTTTTCATTTGAAGGCTTCTGTTTATCTCTGTTTACTTTGTGCATGCCCCGGTTAAGCACTGGGAGTCTGAGCTGGGTTTTGTGCCAAGGCCACTTCATTGCACTCCGGTTGTGCAAAGCACGTTGGTACCTCCTTTCCTGCTGGGGTCTTGGCTGTGCCAGAGCCAGGTAAAATGGCCTTGGTGTAAATAAGAAGTGGGCCCCAGATTTTCATTGCTGCAAGTGACACATACAGTAACAAAAATAGAACCTGACTTGTGAGATTAGATAACAGGCGGTGACGTGCTTTGTGTATGTATTTTAAAAGACAAGCTGCAAAGGAACTCTCCCGAGTCCATCTGCTACAATGATTGATGTTGATTTCCAGCACATAATTCTGGCACAGTTTATTTTTATGATACCGTGTGCCAGGGGATCATTTGTAAATTAACACTGCTGTAGTAATGAAAGAGATGTTGTGCTGGGCTGATGAAGTGTTAAGTCATGAAACTTGGAATAATCCCAATGTGCAACTCTGCTGATGAGTGTATTTCCATATTGCTTAAAAAGCTGGCTATTGACTCTCATTAACATCACATATACTTCTGTGCATTTACCTTCTTTTGCCACACATGAGCTGTACTTTCTGCTTCTGAGGGCTGAAGCAACTCCTTGACAAAATGAGTAACAGCATTTGTGTGCTCTTAACTTATTCTTCAGCTGTGCATTTTGTTTTGTGTAGTGAAATACCATCACATCTTGGTTTTGCCTGACTGCGCGTGGTGTTGCAGGCTGTTCTCAGGATATTGTCTTACTGTTGCAGGAGAAACTGTAAAAAGAGCATGTAACAGTGGTATGTGGGCATCTGTTGCAGCAAGGAGTGACAATGCTTATGTTGTGACAGTCAGATGTTGAACCATATCACGTGCCGCTTTCTGTCCTTTCTGGTCTGATAAACACACCTCCCATGCTCCAAATAATGATGGGTGGCTTTTCTTTTCTTCTTTTGCAGAAGTCAGAGGGCCACATCTCTGCCACATGATGGACAGCCAAATGAAATGTCTCAGGCTCCAGTGCTTATTTCCTGCGCTGACCAGTGAAGCTCCACTTTATTGTAAAACATTGTGCTTTACCTAATATCCTAGCCTTGTCTTTACCAAGGGAAGCTAGTCAGTCCATATGATGGAAACTATAGACTGCAAGCAACTGCTTATTGCTCTGAGTGGCCCAGAATTCACTGGAAGCCAGACGTTAGCAACTTGGGCCAGATCCTCAAATCGGAACCCAGTATGTAGGAGGGTGATATTGTCTATTAATGAACAGAAATTGAATGATCCCAGAGCTTGCTTTCTATTGAAGGCTTTTAAACAGTGAATAGGTGGTTGGTGTGAAAAAGGCTGCCTTTACTGTTAGCTCACACAGCATCTCTTTTACCAACCAGAGAGTATGGCAACTAGTTTATATAATACCTAGTTATTCTAAATGAAAATGAAAAAAAAAAAACAACAACAACAAAAACACTGACGCACTGCACTAGTTATTATTAGATATTCTTAGTCATTTTTGTACATGAAGATTTAAGTTCTAAGATGGTTTATATTAATAGGTTATGCCTACGTTTATATTGTAGAATGAATTTAAAACCTGTTCCAGAGAACTCAAGGCAGCCTGGACAGATGTACCATTGTTAGCGGTGTTTAGGCAGCCATGTGGTCCAGATGTTCTGCACTTTTATATTTGCCACCAGAGTGGTAGAGTTTACTGGCAAAAATTCTGACAGGCTATGTTTGGGTTTGTTTCTTTTTAATTTAGCTTTGAGTAACCAGGATGATGTGCATTAGAAAAAGGAGTGGTGTATGGAAAATACTGCAGATAATTGACTTGTCTTTCACGCCTTGGATGGTTCCTTTATTTTTGCATAGATACCTGAGCGACTTGGTGAAACTTTCCTATAAACAAAAAGTACTGCAAATGCATTTTTCAAAAGTGACCTTAGTATTATTTCACTGTTCTGAAAACCTAAAACCATGACTTTTCGATATACATGTAAACCGATACACATACCTTTTACATTTTGGAGACACTGGCGTTATTGTAGATACTATGCATAGTCGAAATCGGCTTCAAGAGTTGGCATAAAGGGCCAATTACAGTTTGTGTTGGTAAAGTGGAAAGTTGTATACGATAAACCACAACTGAAGAATAACATTTGACTGAATTCAGACTCCCAAACAGATCCATCTGCTAGTTTCTGTCTTTGCTCATGTTGAATTTTTGTGTTTTGCTCTCATAGATACATCCCAAAAGCAGGCCAAATGTATCACTTGGCCTGTTACCTTCGCTATCTTGACTTACACTATTGTATAACCAAGCATTGATTCCTACCAACAGATGCAAAACGATTGCTAGTAATTGATCTAAAGCTACAAATTCAACAGGGTACTTCTTCTATAGCACAAGATGTTTCCCTACTTTTTGCATTGTAGCACAACAATTTACCAAATTGGACTCCAGCAATAATTTTCTATTAGTCTTCGTCACACCGGCTGGACTTCTAATAGTATTGGATTGAGTTTGAAGTTCTTTGAACTAAGTCTTTAAATGAAGAGAGTTTACATCATTCTATCAGGCATTCTTATTTATACTTGACTGAATTGATAATATGTTTTGGGGTTATTTTATAACTAATTTGATGTAATAGCCATATGGACAGTAACTCTTATTAATGCTTGCTAGGTTTAGCCTTTCATTGTTGTAGTTAAGTGAAAGTCTTTGGTTCAGTGTTGGGAAACAATATACAACATACCACACAAGTTGTAACAAAGGATTAAAGGTCTGGCAAAAGGCAGGTAGCTGGGGAAGTGTCACTGAAACAGCACCATTGAGGATGCATGTGTGGGAAGAAGGGAACAACAGCAAAAGAAAAACAAAATTTACGAGCCAATGAGTCAGTGAAAAGGCTTTTTAAAAATTCAGGTGAATATATGACTAAGAGCCCCTAGGATGCCATTGCAGCCTATGGCAGTATTTTTAATAAGATTTTATTAAAGTTTTAAAGTTATTTTAACAAGACAGGAAAAACTTAAGACTTAAAACTGTTGGGTCACAGCAAGGTGGCTGTTGGAGTTTTGGACCACTTTATAATTAGCTGAAATCCAAATATGTTACAGTGCAGGCCGTTCACGTTGACAATGGTACTAACTTATTTCTCTAGAAACCTTTAGAGTAGATATATTTTTGTCAAAGCACCCCATCCTGCCTCGATTTAAATTTCAATATTGTTCCTGAAGATATTTCTGTATATTAATGGTACCTTTTTTAAAAGAAACAGAAAATTACTTTTTTCTATATGAATTAATATCTTACTTGATCTGCTTTTCCTTGACTTTCCCTTAGAGAGGGGGTAGGGTTGGGTCAGTTTACTGGATATGACTGTTTTCAGATACTTATAAACCTTTTTGTAGATATGCTTAATTTTTAAGCGATTAGGCACTGAGAGTAGCAGAAATCCTGCAAAGCTTTATAGTTCACTAGGCCTTTGTTGGTTCTCTGAGTGATGTCTTGATTTCAGTAGCTAGAATTTTCCCTGAATCTACTAGAAGGGGTATCAGTATTTTCAGGTAACAAAGTCTGTTAGCACAACAAAAATTTCAGACCAATATCTTACTGTATTGGGGTTGGGTTTTTTTCCTTGTTTGTTTTGTTTTAATTTTTATTAATTTCAGCTGCTTTCGTTTTGGAAAATCTTATTGCTATTGTGTGTATTTCAGTATACCAGCAAACACTGTTACCGGTTAACACATTGTCCACAAATGCCTCTAGAGAAGAAATTGTTGCACCTTATGTATATCTCAAGCAAACCAAAATATGATGCTTTCCTGCTTTGTTTATTCTGAATATGTTGTATCATACTTTACTGAACCCATTTTAACTTAGCTAAAGCTATCAATATTTATGCATTTCACATTATTTTCTGGATCTGAACCTGTGTATAAATCTTTCTTTAAAAAAAAAAAAAAAGAAAAGCATTTACCGTAAGCATCCTCTGTGACTTATCTATGGGAGGGGGGAATCTTGTCTCAAGTGTAAAATGCAGTACTGTCCCAGTTTTCCTTGGCTCTTATTTATTTAGTGATCTTTGATATTTCATATGTACTTTTGAGGTATACAAAATACATTGTCGTAGCTGAAGCTACAAATGTAAGCAGCTGGGAGAAAATTACTGTAATGTCGTCTTAATTGTTCTAGTACTGTATACATATACGGGAAGAATGGTCTGCAGAACATTTGAGATGCAGATTCTTATCTTCACAGTAGGTTATTTTCCAGATATTAGACCAAATCAATCGAAACGATGATTTTAAAGGTCTTTTCCCATCTAAATGAATTCTATGATTCTAAAAACATCTATGGAGATTACTTAATGCTCTGCTTATGGCAGTAACTACCCCTTGAATGTGCTGTGATTTCAGAAATAGAATATATTTATTTAAGATGACTGAATGCTCTTTTATACTAATACAATATCCCAAAGTCATGAGCAAGAGACTTCTTGGTAGTTTGGGTTTCTATTTTATAGCATTGGTGCATGACTTTTGAAATTAAAGTGTTAAGTGTTGTTGGAAAGGGGCACAGGAACAAGGGACTGGTAGGAGTGTGTGAACTTGGGGTGTTTAAATTCCAGCTTTGGTCTTTATTATTTGGGTGGAAGCTGCCTTTGTAGCACAAGGCCGAAGAGCACTCTGCAGTTTGTATTAAGTAGAAACCTAAGAGAGTTGTAACTCGCATCGGAACGAGGGAATGCCTTATAGTTTGGATGCTGTCTTTGGAACAGGATATTAAATTGAAGCAGTTTTAATTTCCACTGCCTGTTTAGCTACTGTACGGTTATTGAACGGACGGAAGGCAACAGTTGCAAACGTGGGATGGCTAAGATAGGATGAAAGGAAAAGCTGGCCTTTGTTCTCAGTATAGCAAAGTTATGGCAACAAAGGGGAATTATGAAAAAAGATAGATGTATATATGTGTGTGTGTGTGTGTTATGCGTGTGTTTGCGTTTGCCTGGGTGTGTACATTCTGCAAAAAAAAAAAAAAAAAGTAGGAAAAACAAAACCATGATGGGTCTTCAAGAGACTATATAATGTATGTTGACCCTTTGAGTGCACTCCCTTTTTTTGAATGCTGAGTCTAATATGGCTACCTCTCCTAAAAGACTACTTTCATTAACTTCCATTTGCTTTCAGGCTTGATTGTGTAATCTTTTCAGCCATTGATACCATTTGTATGTCACTGTGTGCTTTACTTTCCAAGGGCAATGTTTATATAGAGCAGACAACGTAAAGGCTGAATATACAGTGATAGCCAAACTATGTTGCTGGAGCATTTTTGTGTAACCTCTGCCGTAGTCATACGGGTTGCAGGATGTGGGCCTGCTGGCTCTAGTTGGTTCAGTGAGATCAGTTTTTGTAACAGAAGAAAATGCAGTGTCGTGGCGTGGTGGACTCAGATATTGCCAGGTTGATGCAGTAAGCCAAATGCTGCTCTTGAAACTTGTTCTGGAGTTTACGTTTGCAATCCTGATTTTGCAAGGAGATGTAACTGTGCATCTTGTGCATTGTATACCATACTTTACCCATTAGATGCTGTTTGTTTGCTGTGCTTGTTTGATAGATTGTAGAGCTCCTGGGTATCTTTGCCATGTTTTGTAATACTTGTGGCATTCTCCTCTTTACCTTGTACATATTGTGGAACTGTCACCTAACAGCTGCCAGGGAGCTGAGGCACTTCAGGACACTGAGCGCCATGAATGAGTGCATTTAGTCTGTGAAAGAGTTACTTGCCTCCTCCCCTGAATTCCCCAATAAAAAGGCACAGTGAGGTTTATGCCCTCACCTAAGTACGATTATAGTCGACTTATATACTCAGTATTTTCTACTGAATTGACAACTTTGAAGAAGCTTATGAGGTTGGATGTATATTTTATGTTCACCCATTAGTTGTTCTAAGGCAGAAATCTAGGAAGACTTGACATGAGATCTCCACTCAGCAACACACCTAAGCTTACGCTGAAAACTGTCCTTACTTACAGGGCAGTGCTGCTGTTTGCACTGTGACAGTGCAGGAGCCCCGATTATGGACCACTACACTCTTGGATTTAAGCTTGGGCTTGTGTCATGTTCCTGGGGGAGGCACGGCATTGTGACCTAGGGCCTTCATTGACGTGGGATTTTGAAAATGACTGCAAATAGCTGAATGTTTATCGAGTTATTCCAGAGAATTATATTGTAGTTTCTGGGTCTTAACTGTTACAGTATACCAGCAGACCCACATTGTACCTTACTGGAAAAAACCACACCTCTACAGGCAACTAACCAGGTTTCCAAATGTAGTGCTCTCATCTCTGCTCTTTTCACTTCTGCAACTGAAACCTTATTTTCTCCCACACACTGTTACACTGTAATCAGTGGTTGGGGCTTTGAAGGTGACAAAACTAAGAGAGGCATACA